TCAGCCATATAAACAATCGTCCCCTTCGATCAGCTGATTACCTGCTGCTGGTTGTTCTGAAAGTTCGCTACAAATCACGGGGAGGCATGCCTTCTCTCATGCTGCCCCTAAAGTCTGGAACTCACCGCCCCTACATGTGCTTTTGGCTCTTTCCATCAGTAGGTTCAAGTCTGCTCTCAAAACAGATGAATCTAAACTTTCAACAGAGTCAAACAGTGAAGGATAAAATGTAAAAGCCGGTGGAATTAAACTCTGGTGATGAATAGAGAAAAAGCACGAGCCTGAAGTATCTCCTAGAATTAAATCCAGATGACTGATCAGAACATGTGCAGGTTTGATTGAATGAGAGTTTTTTTTTTTGGGGGGGGTGGGGGGGTGGGGGGGGGGTTACCTGCAGGTTTGATCACCTTTTCCTAAACAACTTATGACAGCGCTTCTGGAAGGGCTGAGTTCCTTTGAGAATTAGTCTCAACAGCTTTTTTTAAACGCTTTAAAATGGCCAGCTAAGAGCTCCTTTTTATGAACATGACCCCTGGTTCCTCGTGGAGACTTGTGCACGCTCACTAATATTGAATGAACTGCCTGAGGTTAGAATTGTATTCTCATCCAAAGCTACGCACAAAACATCACATTCTTTATTTTCCGTTGCTTAGAGGGTTCTTATCCAGAGTGGCGTTTGTGTAAAGCAAAAGGGGAAATTGTGAAAAGGAAATCTCATTTCTTTAGAAGATGTCGATTAATCCTGGCACAGATTTAGTCGCGCCAAATTATTTTACTCATGCTAACAAACAGCTGCATTCGGGATGCTGAATAGAAAGATTCTCCTCTTTTATGGAATGACTGCCTCGCCTCTGAGGAAACCAGGACTGTGACACCAAAGCATGAAATTATTAAATCAAGTGTCTGGTGAGACAAAACAGCAAATCTTGCCAGATCTCCATTGCTTTGCCTAATTGTAACAGTATGTTGTTCATTAACTGGGCCATTACTACTGCTTTGCTATTATGGAAAGCAGTGCTACTGCGGGCTTGTCAGTATTTCTGCCTAGGTGCACACTTTTAGAGGTTGCCTGTGCACACGGCTTGCAGGATTTACAGCCTTTTTCAGGACAAAAGGAGACAAAATGAACTCAAATAACAAAACAAGTAAATATAGAAAGCGTGGGGGAGAAAAAGTCGGGGGTTTTGAAGTTCAGTGCTCACACCAGTGAAAATGCCCAAAGCCGGTGGGAAGTCAAGAAGCAGACTGAGGGGTTCTTTCTACACATTCATCCATCTTCATTTCACAAATAAAGGGCTATTCTAAAAGCTGGGCATGCTTTAATTTATAAAAGAAGTCACCGTTTGGTGCACCCGATGTAGAACCACATCCTAGCCAGAGGACAGCCATGCTTTAAGAATCACTTACAGCTGAGATGTTGCATCCAGCAATGTCTTTAAAAAAATTTAAGTTTCTAAAAACAGCTCAATATTTAAGATTTGTGGCTAGTGAAAGGAAGCAGTTGAAAATATGGAGATGGCCTTGAAGTTTACACTCGTTACTGCAAACATTTCTAAAGAAACTTCTGCGAGGCGAGGGCAGAAAAGGCAGATTTCTCCATCTGAAAGGCAAACCAGCACCGTCATCCTGCCTCTGGAGCTTAGCAGAGGAGTCAGGGATCCATGTGTGGAGCCACAGTGCCCCCTACTGGCCAGATCATCAACAACATGAACCTGCTAGCAGCTTTAGACCACAACATACCAGGACATCACCAGGGCATGAAGTTAGTTAGACCAGTGTTTTTGTACCAATATATTTTGGCCACACTGATGACAAAAACATGATAAGAATCATGTTTTTAAAACAAGTATCCAACTAAAAGCTGAAGCATATAAAAAATACTTTCTGTAACACAAAAAAAGAGCAGCCCCACATAAACAGCCAAAACCAAAAGCAGAGTGAGCGTTTAACACGCAAAGAGGTGGCATGAAACCCCCGTCCTACAGCTGGACCGCTCTCAAAAGGTGATCCGATTAAAAGGGACTTTTGAACGGAAGTCTCCAACACAACCTACTCACCAGAGTCATTTCACTGTTCACCAGAGCGGCACGTCCACTCAGCCAGCCATTTTCCTCCGTGGTGTGACAGCGTAACAATCACGAGTTTGTTCAAAACGTTACCAGTCATTTGTTACGGCTTCTAACCTATTTTGTACGTGTCGCCTTGGGCGCTGAGACACCTCCAACACCCTTTTCTGATGCATCAACGTTGTGTTGATTCCTGGAGAGTCAGTGATAGCAATTCACTTCAATTCAGTTTATTTATAAAGCACCAATTTACAACAAGGGTCATCTTAAGGAACTTTACGGAGTAAACGTTCCGATTGAAGCTGCTCATCAGTAAGCCTGGCAAGCCATCCTATATATGCATATTCTTGTAAACATTCAGAACTGTAGATGTCACCAAAAGATGTCCCTAAAAAGTTGGATGTTTAAGAAGTTTAGCACACACACAAAACCGTGTCCGGCCCTTAATGCTTCCTCCTCCACTTTTCCTGAGACATAATCAGGATAATAAGTTTAAAACCCAGATCAAGTTTCTAAATCCACAGAGTCACAGCCTCTCAGGTAGACCAGACACACTTAAAATGAGAGGGGAGCAGAAAAGGGCCAAATAATTCTGACACAACCCGAGAATCTTTATAGGGATGCACCGATGGATCGGCATTTGATCGTAATCGGCCGATAGCGCCCCTATCGGTTTTGATCGGAGTTTTCAAAATAGATCAAAGCAGACCGATCAGGTAGGGTTGTCACGGTAACCAGTGTAGCGGTAAACCCCGGTAAAAAAAAAAGTTGACAATAATAATAACCGTCTGGTTTTTTAAAAAACTATATTATCTTGGTGGGTTACCGTGGCTGCGGTGTAGGCGCGGTGACCCTTACCAGCCACCGTATCATCTGCTGAAGTTGCCGACGGCACATGAGCACTTTGTTGTTTACAACCAAAACTTTCTTGAAGCTAAAGCTGAAATAATGGCCAAAGGAGGAGACGGCAGCGCTCAGGACATTTATTATCCCTCAAAGAAGACAAAGTGGGAAGTACGGGCATCTTTTGGATATTTGAAGAATGCCGAGGGACAGCTGATAGAAGACGGCTATCCTGTTTGCAGCAGGTGCAGAAAAAGTGTCTGTGAAAGGCAGCAACGCTTCAAATCTCATGACACATCTGCGTGACCATCACCCACAACTCTACAGTCAACGCAAGGCAAGCTAACGTTAGCGCTTTAGCTAAAATGCGTGATCCGAGGATTTGGGTTGAGGGAGAATGCAACGAGTCGCTATATAAAGCAGCCGCAGCGCCGCTACCTGCATATAAACCGTGTTGCGGACACCGCCATGTTGAAATGACGCTATGCATTACGGGGCTCCCAGGGGCAGATAAGAGTTGGTCTCTCTCCGAGAATAATTATGAATTTAACAACGATTACTGCCTGATGACATTTTCCCACATCTGCAAAGCTCACTGGAAGGACACAAACCGAGGACAATATTTTCCTGATATAGGGTTTATTACTCAAGTAAGGGTAAAAAAGTATCTGATTAGAAGGCTACTTGAGTACTGAGTATCATCTGATCTAATATTTTTAAAATGATGACATCAAACAGACAAAAAATAAGAAGTTATGGGCAAATATTGGTATTTTAAAGACTAAAGGGGAAAAATGTAAACAAATAAACAACATATTTACAAAATAACACATTTTAGGCAAAATTTAGACACAAACTGAGGACAATATTTCCTGACATACAGGGTTTATTTAGTTGTGTGAAAATGTAGCACGTTTAAAAAAATACCGCGGTAATACCGAAAACCGTGGTAATTTTGGTCACAATAACCGTGAGGTTACATTCTCACACCGTGACAACCCTAATACAGACCATTTTAGATTAGGTTACATTTCCTTTATTCCCAGATTATGTAGTTTGTAGCACTCATTATAATGTTGTAGAAAATTTCTGGCCAATCCACGTGATCGGTATCGGTGATCAGCATTCTTTGATATCGGTATCGGTGATCGGCAGCAAAAAACCTGATCGGTGCATTCCTATATCTTTATTGGAAAGGAAGTTCAAGTACAACGGCCTTCCAATGGATGTTGGCCCGGATACCCAATCCAATGATTTGTGCTGGCTACACACCCCAAAACAGGATGATTCTTACCAAGTTTCACCTGATAGAAGGTGGGTTAGGGGTAATGCCGAGTGTAAAAGGCAAATGTTCAGGAAACGAAAGCAAGTGTGCTGAGGTGATGGAAAGAAGAGCGTATTTTCATGTGTGCAGTGGCAGGACATTGGGTGGGGCGTATAAAGGAAAGGGAGAGAGTAAATTGCTTCTTGCTGGGAAAACGGGTGCATTACTGAGGGAGGTTATGGCACAATGTGTGAATCTCCAGAAAGACAGATAGGCACATCAAGCCAGACTCCCCAGGGGCTAAAGTGTTAGGTGGCATGTTCAGGGTCTGAGAGAAAATCTAATGAGAAGTGTGTGCCGACGAGTTCCTGCGACAGAAACAAGAGGCTACAGGTTTCCATCAGTCACTAATATAAATGGAGTAATAAGGTAAGAAATGCCACAGCAAATTCAGCTTAAGTGTTTATCGTGTCACAGCATGAGTCGCTTCTTTTAGTCACGATCCACATCTCATGGCCATGGGTGAGGGCTGAAACGAGCTTTTCCTTTCTGCCTCTGCTCCCTCTTCCCCACAACAGACCCGATCCATCGGTCCATCGCCCGCTCCGTTCAACCATCGCTCGAGAACAAGACGAGCTATTTGAACTCTTAACCTCATCAGATACCAGAGTAGACTTACAGAAGGACCCGGCCAAATTCCTAAACAGAGGTTTAGGACATAATCCCAAACCCTAAAAAGTACACAAACAAAGGGAACCACAAGGATATACGTGACAACTAAAACATAGAGAGGGAGTATTCCCCCCCCCCCCCCCCCCCCCCCCAGGGAAGACTGCACACTTCAGAGGCAATTAACATAATTCCTTGGTTGCCTTTGGTATGTTACTAGCATTTTGAGTAATATGGCAAAAAAAGTCCTCCAAAAATGGATCTCCCACGCACAAAAATGAAAATTTCAAAAGTATTATCGAATCAGGAGTTCAACGTTCCCATGCTTTCTCTACAGAGCATCATTGTGGCAGCGAACAGAGCATTCAGAGCTGTGCTTCATAAATTATGCATGAAGGACCATGAAAGTAAACAATGTTTTTGTGCCAGCAATGTCTGATTTGACTGCTTATAAAGAAAAACATAAAAAAATTCAATCTCCACTAGATCGAGGTATTCTGCTCTTTAAGGGTCAGCGCTCTCATCAAACCCATGATGACGGCAGTCCAAGTGGCTCCACTCGACTCAATACCAATTGAATTTCTTGAACCCATCTCCACCCCACGGGTTCTTTATAGCATTCATTACCAGATTCTCTGTGCAAATAAAACTGGCTCCTGTAAAAATGATCTAATACAGAAAGATGGGAAGGGTTTACAGCAGGTGATGGAATACGAGTCAAACACTGTGCATAATTACCACAGAAGTCCCATACCCTTTCATCTTCACCAGCTCTTTTTTAGTATTCAGATCACCTTGTGTTTGGTGTGTGACGGGATTTTATGTCACGATTAGTTTGTCACTTCTGAATTTACAATTGTCACGTTATTAAAAATCACATTTCAATTGTTAAGATCATAAAATCTTTTCATTGAAACTCTATTTGAATGAGGAGCAACATCCTGAGCATGATTCGTACTTTTGGGAGAAGAATGAAGGATAAATCGATGGTTTTTCATAACCCACAGGATGGATTACAATAGAATTAGACACGGTGTGGCCCGGGTCCACTTCGGGCCTTCAGAGTAACTCCGAGCTCTCCGCTGCATTTTAGAAGGAAAAAAGCGTGCTTCCTCCATCAGAACTTCAGGTAAATTTACCGGAACTTCCCGGCATGTACATGTGTCCACATCACCGGGCCGGCCAAACGGCCCTCTGCAGAGGTACGTACACAGCCAGTTCAGTTGTTGAGTGAAACCTTTGGTTACCTCACGCTGATTGGATGCATCTCATTGGAAATGACATCATCCGACGTCCAAAACGAGCAGAATTAGAAGAGTAGCAGGTGAAGAAGAATAGAAGCAACACAAATAAGCACCATTCGTGCTGCTTTAACATCACCTGTACTAAACTAACACGCAGCAGAATTCCCCCACCGCGATGTAATTCACGGCGCTTTGGCCTGAAAACGGCCTGCATTCATACACTTCTTAGTTCTACAACCCCCCAAGGCACTTCACAACACCACCAGTCATCCACCCATCCACACACACATCTACACGCTGGTGATGATGAGCTACAATGTAGCCACAGCTGTCCTGACAAAGGTGTGGCCTGCTGAACACAGATGCCACCGGTTCCTCCGACCACCATCAGCAGGCAAGGTGGGTTAAGTGTCTTGCCCAAAGACACAACAACAGCAGTCTCTGGTCAGAGCTGGGATCGAACTTGCAACCTTCCGATTACTGGAAAACCCGCTCTACCTCCTGAGTCACTGCTGTCTCTTTGTTGTCTCACAAAGCACTGTAAAAAACTGTACTTTTGGTCACTGAACGCCATATTTTACATCACGCAGCTGCTCGTCATCCTCTAAATCAATTAAGAAGCCATACGTTACTGTGGATGCTTTTTGGCGCTGATTAATGACATCACCCACCGCCGAACCAGTCATGATATGCTGACTTCTGTGCAAAGTCCCAAAAGAGCTGAATTTGTACGGAGGTGAGGGAACCGGACCGTCGTACCTCCCAATCAGTTTCCCCCTCGAGATCACCCTGAAGTTCTTAAAATGGAAATGCATCAAAAGAACAGAAAAACGATAAACCCATCACATACATGAAATGTCAAGCTTTTTTTACTAACACAAATGTGTGTTCTTTTAATTAAATTATGTGATTTATTATTGAGCAGATACCAAAAGGAGATTAAAAAAAGAAAAGATTTGAAATTTCGGTAGATAAAGGCAACACATTTCAACACCTCCACTCCTTATGGAAACGTCGTAAAAACAAAAGCCTAAATCTGCTAAAACTTTCATCAAAAGTTAAACATAAAAGTTTTGAGAAAAATTCTGGATTTCTGAGGAAAAACACACTTTGAAGCAATAGGATGATACTGTTCATTAGAGGTGCTGAAAAAAATCGATTCAAGTCTGAATTGGGATTCTTATTTATAAAGATTCAGATTCGATTCACAAAGGTTCAGATTCGATTCCAAGAACTGAAATATTTGGCACGTTACAGGTTTGAGATGCACTTTTTTGATCTTTGTTAGGAGAGTCAGTACTCCGTTTACTTTTGTGCTCCCATAAACTGATGATTTATGTTTGAATCTGCTGATAAAAATGACATGCAAGTGTCCTCTTATCATACTCAGAAATTTGAGATATTCTCATATTTATTTTCTAAGTTGATAAGTGAGTACTCAGGATTACTCATGTAACTTGTTTCTACAAATACTTGAAAAGTATTTGACCGTATTACTTTCAGAGCTACTGTTGGGTAACTGCAGATTAGTTATATTTTACAAGGTAAGCAAAAATAAATGTTGCCTTTTGGTCAAAAGATTGTTTCTGTTTACAGTTTTAGAATCACTTTAATTTACATTGTAAATTTGCATTTTTGGAGCACGACCAGTTTAAAGTCAAATAAAAATGTCCCATAGCTTTAACTAACTTGCACAACAGAGTAGTTCATCCTGGAGCTGACACTATTAATACTGGTTGTGAATCAGTTTAAATCGAGAATCGATTCTGAATCGAATCGGCACCCCGAGAATCGGAATCGAATCAAATCGTGAGTTGCTCCAAGATTCACATCCCTGCTGTTCATACAGCAGAGTTCAGTCAAGTTAAAAGGCTGCAGGAGCATCTAAACTAACCAACAATTCTACCGTTTTCCCCCAATCTGACTTTTTAAACCAAAGACCACTGTAAAGATGTTTTTAAAAGGAAAATGTGCTTCAGGTAACAATCACTGAAGGAAACTAAAACCTTACAAACACTACATGTGGTTAAAAGCAGCACTGCGTCGGAAAAGGCACTCTGTAAAAGCAAAGATTTCCACAGTAAAAAAACCAATCCTGTAATAATCGACTAACTCTAAAGAGAACAGGATAGTTTGTGATCATCATCCCTTTATCATAAGAACATAAAACTAATATTCTGCTGAACGGTTGATCTATAAAGTACATTTTACAGGGTCATTAGTGGAAACAGGAGGTTAAAGTTCAAACCACCCCGTCACAATAAGAGCATCCTCCACTGCTGTTCTCTGACAGTCACCATGTCCTGCCCTCTCCAGGCTCTCGCCCAGGTGACAGCTTGAGCTCCTCCTGTGCCACCATGAGCAAAACAGAATTAAGGAGGAATTAAAAACTCAATGAGCCCAGTAATTAAATTTTAATATGGGACATAAAGCAACCAGACAGCCTCTTAAAGCTATAGGCAGAAGCTTTAACGGAGGTTTCTCCTTCACTCCTCTGCAACCCACATTTTGCCGACATCAACATTAATCTCACTGCATAAACTTTAACCTTGGATTATAAAATGCATCTGAAATGTTACATAACAGCAGTAGAGTTTCTCCTCCTTCGCCCTGCTGGTTCAAAGTGGACTTACACGTGTCGTAACAACCCTGCAGCAGCCTGCTGTAGCTAGCTCTGACAGCTAACACGAGCCAACGAATACCAAAATTACCCACAAAGTAAACAGATCCACACGGTTGGACAAATGATCATTACTTACTAGTCCAATAGCAACAAAGCCAGGTCACCATCAGTCCGTGAGTCTTTAGCTCCCTCATACTGGTGTAGGCCGTGCCGATGTTCACTCCGGTGTTAGCTCTAGCTTCAAGTTTAAAGGAATTGTCAAGCCTGCCTCAGAGTCCTTTTCCACCCACATATCATTTTTTAAAAATGCAACATTAGTAGGCGTTGCCTGGCGGACCGAGAGGGCGGCAGTGACGAAGACGGATGGGTAACGAGGCGAAGAGATCCCTTCACTCTGAGCAGTTATTAGAAGTGGAGGACGTTTCTGCCCCTCCTTACCTCCTTATTTTATCAATACATTCTAAAGTGATCCGGCTCAGAGTGTGTCACATCTAAAATGGTCCGGGTGGAAACGGATTCTACCTGGTAGATCTGTACCCTGCAGATCTCCACATTCAGATCCTTTATGATTAAAGATATAAACACCGCTCTCCCCTGCTTCATCCATCTTTTACATCGTATTTCCAAACAGCAAACTTGCAGCCGCGCAGCCACAGCACTCAAACACCAGTGAGTAATGACTCCTGTTTGTAAAGGTCTACATGTTCATCAAAGCAAAAGCAGCCATGGCATTCAGCCGATCTTTTTCTGTTTTCAACATGACGCAGATTTTTTGAATGACAATTTGACTCCATCACTTCAGAATTTACTCATTACCAAAAGGCATTTTAGATTATGTATTCATTCAGTTTAAACAATAAGCTATTGTTTTCCGTAAAATATAGACTATGAGTTTACGTGTGTGTCTGCATGTTAAGTTGATGAAAGGATAAACTGCAAGAATGTTCCCAAATCAGCAACAGGGCCAATAAATAAAGAATAAATTCTGTTAGTGTAGGTTGTTGGCAGGCAGCAGCATTTCTGTTTCTCATCAGCCAAGTCCTGTTTTTTTTTTTTTTTTTTGTAAACAGATCAGCAGATTTTTACAAATTTTCTTCTCAGCTGAACTCTATAGTTCATAAGACAATCCTTATTTTTAAACTTCCATCTTACTGACCCTGAATAGATTTTAAAAAGCTGCAATCTGAACTTTTATTAACTTAAATTTATGGAAAGTTTGGTCTATTATGTGATCTTTGAGTCACACTCAGCACCGCCACTAAAGACAACATTTCCTGAATCCACCAGCAGAGGGCAGCAAAAACCGCCAAATACCTTTGTTGCCAACAAACCAACAAAGGTCAAAGGGGAAGCGTGCCTACCAGCATTGACTATGGCGTCCACTTCCAGGAGAGTAATATCGCCCTTGTAGAGAGAAACTTTATCACTCAGACCTCCTCCTCCTCGTCCTTCTCCTCCTCGTCCTTCTCCTCCATCACCTCCTCCTCCTGCAACCTCCTTCTCTTCTTCATTTTCTGTGGCTGAAACAATGAATAACAAAGATGCTGCTAAACATTTTGAAAGGTACACAAATTAAACAAAATTATCAGTTTAAAATTTGATGAAAGAAAACTTCAAGTATGTTTAGTGTTGATACCAGAATAGTAATTTTTAATTTAGTGATGCACCTTTTTCCAAAGAATATTTTTGGGACTTTATTCATTCATTCATTCATTCATTCATTCATTCATTCATTCATTCATTCAGTTTAACTCTTTAGTGCGAAAGATCCAGACATTTAAAGTAGGGGTGAGCAATATAGAAAGAATATCACGATTTTATCCATTTTGGACTATTCAGACGTTTTGGAAGTGACTTCCCAGTAAAAGACATTAATTTAAACGCACACCCCTTCACAGAATATAGGATAAAAGATTTCAGAATCCTAAATAAATCCTGAACTTCTAATATCTATCTATAAATCACAGTTAAGAGCTACGGATACGCGTCTCAAATGTCCCAAAGGCACTTTTACTTATTATATATTTATAATTAATATCAAATTATTTAAATCCTGTTTAGCTGTGGCTCATTTCCTATCATTCACAATATTACCAGTGGTTACTTCTTGTACAAAGTAAAAATCTATCATATTACGCTAAACTCATGACGTGTTTGAATCCACTCCCAGAGGATCGCGCTCCTGCTGTTTGGGTCCTGCTGCTCTCCGTAGACGTTTCCTGACTACGCGGGGGAGGGATTTGGCCCGTCTTTATAAACAGACTTGATAAACGGGACTCCGGTCAGCAGCCATGGTGAAAAGGCTTACTAAAACACAAACATCCACTAATAATAAAAGCCTCAAAGGCAAAGTTTAGAGCGGAGCATCGACCCAGAGGTTTCCTGGTTGAGCAGACGAGTGAGAATACACGTAATGACTGCTTAGACATGGAGCAAGCTAGCGGCTAGTGCTAGCAGTTAGCGCTCTAATCAATTATGGTGCGCTTCAACAATCCATGATCGTTTATGTCCGAATCCTAATGCATCAGCTATTAGATTATTTTCCTCAGCCCTACTGAGCACCCCCAGCTAAACAAACCAACACATTACCTAAAACTTGCTCTGATTGGTTCATCAATGTGTGACTGACAGAGGCAGACTAGCAAATGGCGTGGCTCCGCTGAGAGGGAAAAAAAAAGTGTACCCGTGGACGTGTCCAGAAATAATGGCACAGACGGGTGATGGAACGCAAAAAGACACTTCTACGATCTCCGAGCTTTGATCATCATCACATTATAATCCGATCTTCCATCGTCAGATCGCACGGCCCTGATTTAAAGCTTCATTTATTTGGCCTCAGATTGAAGACTAGCTTACAAAACCAACTATAGGTCTGATTTTGCCATGAAATTATGCATTCGTGGCTTCTGTCTGACCTACTTTTTAACAGAACTGGGTCACACATACTGCAATAATGTAAAAAAACGAATGAAGCTTTACATCCGCTGTGCACTTCTATTGCATTTTATCATTTGCTTCTTAATCCTTAAAAAATGCTCATAAAACAGGTATGTGGAGAAACCAGGTAGGTAGGCTTTAATGTTGCACATCTGCAACGCCTGCCTCCAGAGCACATATGTCAGAGTCAAGGCCCGCGGGCCAGATGCGGCCCGTGGAGCATTTTTATGTGGCCCGCGAGATAAATATCAAAAATATATTAAAACTGGCCCGCTGGCCAATTTTACCGCAAAGACTTCAACTCCCATGATGCTTTGCGGCGTCAGCGCGGAGCCAACGAAGCCCCCTCCTTTGTGTTTTTTCCGCCTGCTGCCGGTATCTGCAGCTCCGCTGTCTCAGACAAACTACACTCCTCCCACTCAGCGCCGAGTTCACTCAGCTGTTTTCTGACGTTGAAGCCCAGAAACGGAGATTCTAGCCGCTCAGTAATGTGTTCACGACTGAAAGAGAAAGTGTTCCAACTAACGTCCAGACAGAGCTGATATAACTCCAGCGAGCAGCGACACGCTCAAACCAGCACGACTCTGTGGTTGCTGTCGTTGTGTTTCCTCCCCGACACACAACAACGTGGTCAAGCTGCTCAGACATGTTCATCAGCACAAACCTATGTGAGCACCTGTTGTCATCTAATGTTGTCATTATTATGATGAAGATGAACAAAACAACAGGAGTCTCCTCCTCAGCTCAGACCAACCCCATGATGCAGGTATCTGGCTGGAACAGGTGAGCATCACAGTAAACCAGTGGAGCAAACTGAGCTTTAAATATGTTGGTTTGATGCTCTTTTTCTGCTCCAAAACATGAAAGTTAACAGGTGAGATGTTGCATTTTCATTTAAGATAAAATGATATTTTTATTTTGTTGTTGGCCCGTGAGAAAAGATTTAACCTACAGTAAACAGGAAGTGGAAAGGCTGCAGATAGATGAATAGAATAGAAAATCCCTTTATTGTTCCTCAGTGGGGAAAGCTAGACGTCACAGCAGCGATGACACGTATTACAGGAGAAAAAAGGAGAATAAAAAATAAGAAAAATGAATAAACAAGAAAACATAAATCCTGAATAGATTTTAAAAATGCTGATTATACCACAAGTAATGAATACCACTGATGCCTTTTATTTAAAACTGACTTGCTCGTGTGTAATCTGGTTATTCCACATTCAGTGTTAATGCAGAAATAAGTTTGTTTCCAAATGAAAAGGTTCAAAATTGCATATATGTTGATAAAGAAAATGCAAATTTACCGTCACTTTTTCAAAAATATTAAGTTTGGCCCTCGACTCCGTCCCAGAGTTTCATTTCGGCCCCGTGTGAGTTTGAGTTTGACACCCCTGCAGAGGGTTGATCTATCACCAATCAAAAACAGTTTTCAGCTACTTTGGTTCTCTATAAATGCTTTTTGATCTGTTTGGCTTGTGGCGGGTTCAACATCAATACTGAATAAAAAAAAGTTCCACAAATTTAAAAAATCAGATCATCTTACATCTATCATCTTCTCTCCAGGTAGGGATTTTATCCAGAGGTAGCCATGTTTCTTTACGATATTCCTTGCGTCTCTCTTCCTGAGGGAGTTGAAGTAGTCGTTCTGTGGAAAGCAGCAACCAGATGTTTAGTTTCATTAAACAAAAGAAAAATATATTTAAACAAATGTGATATTTGCAAACTAGTGATATTTTTCAGTCATCAGAAAAGGTCACAAATCTCGGCTTCATTTTGTTCCGTCACTTTTATCTAGAATTCCTTTTTGTCTGAATGACCTCAACAACAAGAACAGGTCTCATCTAGATTAAGGTCTGGTCTAAAAGACGGTTCCCAGGTGTGAACCAACGACGACTGGCTCCAGAATCAAAAGAAAAAAGGGGGCCACCTGTGAGAAACACAGACTCCCCTCTTCCTGCTGTTTGCTTCGACGTCTAGCTTTGTTCCTCTAGATCAGAGCTGCATTCTCAATCCTCATCTTCATCCAACTTTAGAAAAGGTGTTGGAATCTCCATTTATAATAGAGTCTGATCTTTTAGTTGGAGCCTTAAAAATCTTGCTTCAAGAGCCTTCCTGCACAGCCATTTATAAACCCAACACTCTTTTAAAAAGCCTTCGAAAGCCAAAAGAGTGATTTTTATTAGAGGTGCTGAAAAAAATCGATTCAAGTCTGAATCAGGATTCTTATTTATAAAGGTTCAGAATCGATTCACAAAGGTTCAGAATCGATTCACAAAGGTTCAGAATTGATTCCAAGAACTCAAATATTTGGCACGTTACAGGTTTGAGATGAACTTTTTGGATCTTTGTTAGGAGAGTCAGTACTCCGTTTACTTTTGTGCTCCCATAAACTGAGATGATTTATGTTTGAATCTGCTGATAAGAGGGCACTTGAATGTCATTTTTTTCATGCTCAGAAATTAGACGTATTCTCATATTTATTTTCTAAGCTGATAAACGAGTACTCAGGATTACTCATGTAACTTGTTTCTACACATACTTGAAAAGTACTTGACCGTATTACTTTCAAAGCTACTGTTAGTAACTATAGACTTGTTATATTTTACAAGGTAAGCAAAAATAAATGTTGCCTTTTGGTCAAAAGATTGCTTGCGATATTACGGTAATACCGTATATACACTCGGTGTTGAAAATCAGAAACGGTGTCAGTTCCAATACTGCAATGAAAAATAAATACAGAGCACACTTGAGACAATGATTAAAAAATAACAACATAAAACAGATAAATAAAAGTTGTTAAATGTACAAAATGCATGCATGGTTGAATTTTTTGTTTTACATAATTAGTTTTAAATGTTTTTTCCAACTTTTAGAGACGTTCCATAAAGTTTACTAACGTGATGTCATCACTTGACAGCGAGGAAGAGACGTGCCGATCGTGCACCAACTGACTTGACGTCTAAAAAGAACACAACTTCTGCAGTTTGAGTATTTGGGGTTCGAAGCAAACAATAAATGAGAGGCGGTGAACACTGATGAGGTCATTTGTGCAAACAACAGATGGCAGCAAAAGATGCAGGCCCCATCGGCACCACAGACGAGCGAGCTGGAGCTGAAATAGCAGCCTTTTGTTTGGAGCCTGTTATTAATAAGGTAGAGATGAACCGAAATGAAAATTCTGGGCCGAAACAGAAAACGAGGAAAACAAAGCCGAAAACCAAAACACTGAAAGAAATTATGCCAATAACTGGAACCACAGCATTTATGTCCATGATGTGTACCAACCTCACTCAAATCTGTTGAGGACAGTAAAATGAACCCTTTAAGCGCCAAAGTTGCAATAGTGTTTAAAGAGCAAGTCACCCCCTACCAGAGTCTTACTCCACTCCCACTTCCCGTCTGAAAAATGCAACAAATGCTGTTGCCTGGCAGACCGAGAGGGCGGAGCCGCTAACACACACACACACACACACACACACACACACACACACACAGTGACATCATATGGTACCAGCTAACGTTCTAGGGTACCTCTTAGCCAATAGCGGTGGCAGATTTAAATTCAAATGCAGTGCAGAGTTTTTACCTGACAACGGCACAACACTGACAGTTTTAGGCAGAATATTTAAATTTGAACTAAAATGCACTAAAGTGCAAAACTATTGACGACACGTGTCTGCAGCACGATTAGACACACATTTATATAGTTTATTAGAAAAAAAAGTTGATTTGGGGGTGACAAATACAGTCCCTAAAGAAGTTATTGCTTTACACGAGAAGATACTAGAGATGTGTAACTGAGCAACACTTTGGGTGTTTCTATTGACATTTAAGAGTTGATGGAGTTTGAAAACCGCCCATCCGACAGGACAGGAGATGAGCAGAGCACACAGAGGGGTGAATATTATTAGGTATCAGAAAGAAGAAACTTATAATGCAGACAGGTTTGTTTATTGTTGACAAAGCTCTTTGTCTGGTAATGTCTGACTGATTCTGAAGAGTAACTAACATTCATCCTCTGATGATAAGCATGGACGCTGCAGCTGTGCAGCAGCAACAGAGTCTGCTCCTCATGAGAGTTAAACTGCACACTCGTGATCCACAGCTTATTTCACCGTGTTCAGGACATGGTGGGTGTGGAAAGGATGGTAAAAACACCGCTAATAGTGACAGACGCAGTGGGAATGTACAAGAAGAAAACGCAGGGCAGAGGTGGTAGATGTGAAACTGAAAGTAAAAAGTGCAGCACAACTGATATGAATATTCCAGCGATTGTAACTAATCATTAGCAAAAGGGGACAAACTTTTCTTTCTATGTTTATGTATTTAACGGACGCTTTTGTCCAAAGCGACTTACAAGTTTTAAATCAATACAAAAGCACTATTTTTTATGAAGCAAAGAGCATGAGGGTGGAGCGAGTTGAAACGAAAACGGGGTTCACCTGACGGTCTATTTCGGCTGTGTTGTTTTTGTGATTTAGGTGATTTCAGCCAAAAACCAAAAGTCCATTTTTGGGTCATTTTCGGCAGAAAATTCTTGGTGGCCAAATTTTCGGTGCATCAATAACTAAAAGAGATGACAATGCACTTTTCTGATGGAAAATAAGCTGCCACCCTTCCCCAGATGTTGCATCTATCCTTACCCCGGGTTTCCACGGGAGCCGTCAGCAGCACGTTACTGCAGCATCACGTCTTGCTCGCGTAAACTGCTGCTTGGCCCTTCCCACGAGACGCGAAGCAGCAGGGGAGCAGCTGTCACCGACCGAGCACGAAGTCACACGAGTGACTTCATCAGTAAACACAACAACAAGCAGGAGAAAATTACAACATGGTTTGTGTTTTATGTTCTGTCCATTTTATAATCGCCAATACGGACCTGAAAAACAAAGGAGACCGCTAGCTAGGTGATAACTTCTCACGGGGACGCACACTTAGTAACCTTTTTTAAAAGTAAAGCAACCGGAAAGCAGTACGTTCTTTATTCTGAAAATCTCGGTAGCTTCTCTCCATTTCCGCGTCCGATTTCCTGTCTTTCCTTCCCCAAAAATGTCGAACTTGACCCGTTTCAGAGGCGTTGCGCGTAGAAAATAGAACCGGCGCGTAAAGGCCGCGACATGCTGCTCCTGAGACGCGGCCGACTCGCGCTGCTGACGGCTCCAGTGGAAAAGGTTCTGTTGACCACAGCGGTTCCTATCAGCAGCTATGACGTGCTGCTGCAGTAACGTGCTGCTGACGGCTCCCGTGGAAAGCCGGGGTCAGTACCCGTGTGTCTGTGCCACAAGCAGGTTCCCAGCACTGAGTTAAAGCAGTCGGTCCACAACAGTCTATGAAGCTGGAAATGGTAAACATTAGGGCTGCACAATATTAGGAAAACCTGCGATGTGCGATAACAGTGAAATGACGATATTACTTGTGATAAAAAATAAAAACTTAACTCTGGAACAAAAATAATCAAAAACTAACAAATGACAAAAAAATTCATTAAAATGAGAAAAGTAAAAGATGTGAGGAAAGGGAAAAAGAAAATGAACAAGAAAAGGCAATCAGAGAATCCCGGGAAAAGCAGAATCAGCAGAAAGAGCAGAGCAAAGATAACTCAGGTGTTTGCTAGCCATCTAAATGAAGTGCCATCCACCGCCTCGGGGGCGGGCATCTCACCTATGAGGACCCACCCAGTTGGCCAAATGGGTAAAAAGCTCTATTTGATTTGTTAAAAAAACATCCTGCTTCTGTTTGACTGACAGAATGCGATATGTGTAGCAAACATTTGAGCTGACCATTCATTGCAATATCAGTTCATTGCAATATGTATATTGCGCATGCCGATATCGACATAACAATACATTTACAATGTATTGTGCAGCCCTAGTAAACATGCTGGATTTTTAGTCGAAAAAAATCTTCTTAACAGCTGTATTTTTTTTGTTTTTAGTAATTGTTAATATTATGTGTGTTTTGTTATTACTATATTTTCCGGAGAATAAGTCGCACCAGCCATAAAATGTATAATGAAGAAAAAAAACATATATAAGTCGCATTTTGGGGAGAGGGGGGTTTATTATTTTTCTTACAAAATCTGAGACCAAGTGTTTCATATTGCAAGACAAGTACTGGTAAGAGAATAAACAACCGGGGCGCAGCATCGCACCACGGGCTCCAGCAGAGGATGGCGATGTTTCAAACCCTCCCAGCGGGGCAGGGGAGCTCATTCCTGGTCCGGAGCCGGCCCGCAGCAGCGCGGTATAGCCTACATAATTTGGTATATAAGTCGCAGGACCGGCCAGACTATGAAAAAAAGTGTGACTTATAGTCCGGAAAATACGGTATTTTAGTAATAATGTTTGTTATTCAGTTTCTGAACGGTGAAGGTCCAAGCCCACAGTTTTATACTCACGCGGTCATTTGTAAATAAGTCCCGCTCATGTCGTACACCTTGGTAAAACGTGGAGGAAGTTGGACGGTATTAAAATTTGGATACCATCCAAGCCTACCTAGCAGCCACAAAAGCGATTATTTTTATTTACAAGTTTTCTTAGTGAGTTTGCTATTGCGAAGCACCAACTTAGCATTGGGAAGTTTTATATTCCAGAATCATGCGTATTCCGGTAATTACAGTTTGATATAAAACAAAATCCTAACAAATTTGGCATCAGCAGGTCAGAGCAAGAAATCAGAAATTGGAATTCGCCCTTCAAACCAGAACCGGTCCATCTTTGATGTTCACTCCGTTTATTCCTGCTCCAAATGTGGCCTCCTGCCACTAATTCCTATGAGATTACTTTAATAATCAACAAGGAATTTGCAGCAGTAAACAAAGAAAAATAAGTTATGTAGAATTTAATTCAAGGGTAAAGACAGCTGTCATAAACCCTGGAGTTAAGCTCGACAATGCCTTGGGTTTTTAAACCATTAAATGGGCTGGGCCTCACATACTTCCAAACACTGCCAGAGCCATGTACGCCGGCACAGGCACTCCGCTCGGACAACAGTCCCTAGGACCCGCTTAAAGACAAGAGGAGACGGGGCTTTTCCCGTGGCAGGCCTGAAGCTCTGGAATGAGTTACCCTACAATGTGCGTGCTTCACCATCGGTGGCAGTTTTAAATGTCAGGCTAAACACTTTTTTATTTGATCTAACCTTTACTCTTGGCTGCAATTCTGCTTGTAGTTTTATTAGTGCAATTTGTATGTGTTTTTTTATTTTATTTATTTATTTTTTCAGAACAAGAACTGGAAAAGATGTCAATAACGTCATGTTTACTCTCTTTATGTAATCAAATGAATAAAAGGAAATACAGTAGATGCTAATTAATGTGATTTTTTACCTGGAGGAAGTGTTCAGCAGCAGCACCATCCCATTCTCATCCCCCAGGACCACTATCCTGCTAATCCTCATTCCAGCACACCTGTTTGAATGTCCACAGGCTCTGCAGCGCCTGTTAATCACTGATTAACTGATTCAAATCAGGTGTGTTGGAAAACAACCAAACGCATACAGGAAAAGGATGAGATGCCACTGATGTCCAGTCAAAAGTACTGTTAGTAATTTATTTAAATCAAAATAAGCATTTTATTCTGCTTAGCCAACAGGGCTCAACATCTGGACGCACTTCAGAATAAGAGTTTTTATCATTTTCCTGTATTTGAAACACAAAAGAATGTCACTTTTCCAGCTGATGCTGTCAGTCACACATCGTAAGGTCTATTAACGAGTGGGTTCATGAAGATGATGGTGATTTTTATAACAAAGGATTGTTTTTGTTTCTTATTTTGATGTTTGCACCTGACTGATCCAGCTGCTGGAACAAAGAGGTGGACAACAGGAACACTTGCAGCCAAACTACAGAAGGACACAGGTTACTGTATGTGAAGAGAAAGCTAAATGCACACAGATGTGGGGATGTGAGGCGTTTTATTACAGCAGCCAAACAGAGGCGCAACAGTGAATGTGTGTAGCCGGTGTGTGGCTGACCGAATCGTCTAGAAAACAAGTTCACACACTCCGTATGCAGGAAAACAGCCTGTTATCTAGCATGGTTAGCATGTATGCTATGTGCCATGGATATCATCTAGCATTATTCCCCCTACAAACAACAAAACACAACCCTTACCTTTTTCAGTCCTCCAGTCCTTTTTCTTTTTGCTCATGCTGCCGGTGTGATACGGTTTCGGGAGGGTGCTTTTGGAATTTGGCAACCCCAGGCTCACAGCAAGAGGAGTTCCGGGGAGGCAAAAATACAGAAAATGTAATGAAAGTGAAACAGCGTCTGGACGGTCGTCTCACCTGGGAAACTGTCAAATTTCTATGGACCTCCGTCGGCTCAACCTACCGTGACTGCACCGTAAATTCTGTGTACGAATCCTGGCCTTCTGATTGGCTCATATAAACAAAATCGGCCGCTCATTGGTTGAAGGGTAAGTCAATCACAGAATATTCGCTGAGAGTGGAGAACAACCTAACTGGCTATACTCTACGTAAAACGTTTCCTTATAGATAAAAGTTAGAATTTGTTTTTTATGTTATTTGAAACCATAATGCGACATTTTCTTTATTATTTTGTTTTTATAATAAGTTAAATAAATAGAGAATCATCATAATTTACCACATGGGGAGATTCTGATCTTTTCATAAGGTTTTACTTTTAGTAAAGTCTGTGAGTGGTGTGTAGTTCAACTAGAATTTTTAATCAAGTTACTTACTCCAATTCATTTCATTAAACCTACTTGTGACATCACTAGCAATAAACCCTGCTTATGTAACAATCTGTCAAGGTGCACAACATGATTTACTGTGGTCATATGTTACTGGTCATTAATATTACATGTGGCTCTTAAAGCTATCATTTTCGTTTTCGCAAGATAAAATTTTCTATCTTTATTCGTGCAATTTATGCTAACTAAATGATTAATGTCTTGCACTAAACAGATACTGATGCAAGGTCTCCTGTTCATCTGCAAAGCAGGGTGCTAAATGTCACCGGGCATCCTGGATCAGAGCACTTACCGTAGTCAGGCATGTGAGAGGCTGGTTCCAGGGACCACAGTCTGTCATCTGTTGTGCTATCACTGCTCTGCTCCAGACCCATCTGCTCCTGAAACCACTGATATTATCCAAATGTGAAAAAAAGACAGTATTTTATTCGAGCTGGTTACTGTGAACTCCATTCAAACTGAATATGGAAAAATATGCAATTTTTTATGCAGGGTTAATTTTGCTATGCAGATTTTTAATGTTTTAACTCATATTTTGATTTTACTGTGATGCTTTGAGTGGAACCTGAATGTCCTGAGTAAAGGTCACACTGAGCAGATGGATTTTGGAATTTGTTCTCTATATATTTCAAATTTTCTTCAGCATTTGTTGAAGTTTAGACATGTTTAGGAGTTATTTAATTGGTGTGAGCAAAACACAAATTATCTTTAAAACCTTTTTCAGTTTCGGGATAAAAATTATGTAATAAACTGAAAGATAAAGTGCAATAAAGTAATCACAAAAGATGTTAAGATCTTAATTTTGCTTTACTGATATTCTGAAGAGTAAAATGTTTTTGGACAGTATTAACCCTCTTCCATTTTGATTGATTGTGAGTAATTTACTGGGGGATGTGTATTTGAATATGTATGGAAATTGACTTTTCATTAGATGTTTTGGGGATTTGTTAGATTTTTTCACTCAAATGGTCATTAATGTACCTTCAAATGTAAAATTTTAAACCATTTTCTCCTTGAGCCGACAGTCACGTAGCACAGTTATATAGTACAGTACTTATATTCAATATTCAGAATTTTACAAAATATTATGAAATGTTAAATACGAAAATCACAAATATTTTTCTGGTCCACAGGCCGTAAGGACATTTCTGTAATCTTTACTTCAGACCACTAGATGTCAGCCTTGTACCAGTTGAGTCATTAGAGAGAGACATTATTTTACTTTAATGGAGTTCCTACACCTAAAATGAACCAATTTAATTTAGATTATTCTTTTCTTTTTCATTTTTTGTTACTTCGTATGTCAGAAAATGGCAAAACTGAATATTAAAAAAAAATTGCATAGCATCTAAAAATAGCAACATTACGAGATCAAATCATGCGTTAGAAATCGTTCAATATTTTTTGTGCATTTCCAAGTTCAATTGTAGTTTTTTTATGCCTAACTTAGAATAATGAAGCAAGTCAGATTTGATCGGAGGAATTTCTCTTTACCGCAACAAGTTTGAATCAGTCACTGCTCAACAAGTATCGCACAACCAAGGTAACAAGGAATCTGCATGAAGAGAAAGGATTAAAGCTTCACCCCTCTGAGCACACGATGCTGCAGGGAGATCTTTATTCTCCAAGCAGAGGAGATTCTTTTTGTGTAAGTTTGCGTGGGCTGTTGTCGTCGTCATGGTAACAGAGACTGAGACTTCACCTACGAGTTACTTGCAAGAGCATTGCCTCATCTAAGATGCAGCTGGCTTGAAATTTGCACCTTTAATTTCTAGATTTTGATCATTATGTTGTACCTAGTTGTATTTATAAAACTGAGTGATGCATCCATCCATTTTCATCCGCTTATCTGGGGTCGGGTCACAAGGACAGCAGCCTAAGGCGAGAGGCCCAGACTTCCCTCTCCCCAGCCACTTGGGCCAGCTCCTCCGGGGAATACCAAGGCATTCCCTGCCAGCTGAGAAAGTCCCTCCAGCATTTTCTGGGTCTTCCTTTAGGTCTCCTCACAGTTGGACGTGTCCAGAAAACCTCACCAGGGAGGCGTCCAGGAGGCATCACTCGAGCCACTGGCTCTTCTCGACGTGGAGGTGCAGCAGGTCTACTCCAAGCCCCTCCTGCATGGCCAAGCTTCTCACCCTGTATTTAAGGGAGAGCCCAGAGAAAACTCATTTTGGCCTCTTTTAACCTTGATCTTGTTCTTTCAGTCACTACTCAAAGCTCATGACCATAGATAAGGGTAGGAACATAGATCAAACAGTAAATTGAGAGCTTTGCCTTCCAGCTCAGCTCTCTCTCCACCACGACAGATCGGTACAACGCCTGCATCACTGCAGACGCAGCACCATTCCATCTATCGATCTTGTGCTCTAGCTTTCTCTGATTCATGAACTAGACCCTGAGGTACATAAACTCCTCCACTCCCTTACCTTCTCAGTAGCCAAGTGGTATGCGTGTCCACCCTGGGACTGGGAGATCAGGGTTCAAATCCTGGTTGGTTCATACCAAAGCCGTAAAAAACCCAGTGCCTCCCTGCTTGACGCTCACCTTTAGAGGGTTAAACCACCAAATAGTTCCCGAGTGCAGCCACTGCTGCAGCTGACCACTCCCCACCGGGATGGGTCAAACGACGTAGAGATGGAATTTCAGCAGTGTGTGACGATGACTAATGGGACTTTAACTTGAGGCAGGACCTTGTCTCTGACAAGGAGAAGGCGTTCTACCTTTTTCCGACTCAAGACCATGGTCTCGGATTTAGTGATGCACTATAACCTAATGTTTTTGTTTCTAAACCCATTTTGCCGGTTTTTATATTTGTTTTCTTTGTAAGCATTACATCAACAAGCTGCATACTGAACACCATTGATCGCTAAGGAAATTAGTGCTGAACAGGATTAGTTCACTCCATCAGAGCTAGCATGAGCCTAAATGTGCAACTGCCTTCATTTAAACCGTTTTATAACCTTTTAACGGAATTTAGTCAATATTTAAAAAACAAAAACAACAAATGACATTGTGTTACGATGGAAACACGTTTAGCTAGTTTTCAAAATCTCTTAATCAAGCTTTTATCTGTGCACATGGTTCACTTTGTGTGGCCTGTTCTGCTCATCTGTTCCACAGATGTACTCACAGCACCTCACATTCAGAAATGATCCTACATGCTCATGAACTTGTTTTCTTGTGTGTCCAAACCTAATTTGGCTCAAACCTGCAGCACTGTACATGTGCAAGCTCACCTTCTACTTTGCAAAACACACAAAAAAGGTCCTGACTGCTTTTGATCCAGACCAGATTCCAACATAATCAGCTCCTCTGACAAGAATTTCATTCAAAACTTAAATTTAAGCTTCTCATGAATGTTTCTGGAATCTTTTTAATCACATTTTGGCCACAAGGACAGATTGTCAAGTGACGACACAGCGCTGCACCCGTGAATGTGTTGATTTGCAGAGTGGTACGTTGTTTAGTCTGCAGCATCACAACGGGTTTGAGGTTGGATTAAAAAAGCACCACACTGTGAGGATTCTTTTCCTTCAGAATTCCTGTGGGTTCCAGCTTTGGCAAAAATATGTAGCAACTTCTCCCCTCTGTTTATTTTCCTTCATTTAATAAAACCCCCATCTAGCACGCCTCCTCACAGCGGAGCGCTCCTTCCCTCTGCCTGCTCCAAGCAGCGGGAGGTTCTTCTTGATCGTTGGGTGAACTCAAGTTCAGTGGATTTAGCGTGGATGGATGTTCAGATGTACAATGTAGACATGCAGTCGAATAACTCCGGTTCTTTAGGAATATTATGCATGATAAGGATATGTTGCATCCTCCATGCTGCACATCTGCACAATAAATCATTTTAGATGTGAGTTGTCTCGTATTTTAATCGTTTCAATCTCATGAGAGGTGTTTGATTTATTTTAAAGATGCATGGAGAGCCTTTTATACTTACTTTGGCTCCCAAAAAGTGTAGAAGTGTCAGAGAAGTGGATGGACGACATATTAATCACGCCTGCAGCCTGTGTGGTCATCACCTAAAGCTGGATAGACCAGCAGCTTCTCTCTGCACACCGTCAACAACGGTTTGAAGAAGTTTCCACAGAGATCTGATGGTATGCAACACTAATGCTACCCCCTGAAGGCTTGTTGGCCCCTCCTTGGCACCCTGGCTTCAGACCTCTTTACATTAATTGGTCAACAGCTCTCTTTCATCTCTCCTGACTTGATCCAAAGCAAACACTGTGCATTATGATAGAAGCTGGGGCTCTCAGGCTTCTTCTCCTTTAAGGCTTAAAATGCTCTAGTGAAAGTAAAAAGGAGTTAAAAAACACAGATCCACTTTCACACTTTGGACCTCCAGGGACAGATAGTGATCTTTCCTATCTTAAAACAGAAGGATCCTGTTCTCCAAGAATTTAGGATGAAGTTGCATCATCAGACCAATAAATCCTATGGGTTCTAAGATGATTAGGAAAAATGTACCGTAAAGTCGCACAGTTAGGTTTCACGTTTGTTATGGGAAGAATTAATGCAGCAAAACTATGTGGCATTTAAAAAAAACAGCTAAGAGAATTATGATGTTTAGTTTAGGGACAATTAGAGATTTGTTTTACTTTAATAGATTTTTTTGTCTTAGTGTTTCAAAGAAAAAACAGGATGTACAAAATATGATAATGAAATAAATTGTTTCTTTGCAGCACCATCTCACATTGGTGATCTTCTCAATCCCTACACCCCCAGCAGGTCCCTGAGGTCCAGTGATCAAAGCCTACTGGTTGTGCAGCGCACCAGGCTAAAGACCAAAGGTGACAGATCAGTGGACTCACTAGTCTCCTTCTTCTCCCTAACCCTCACCTGTTCCAACTGGCTTTTGCATGACCTTAGTCATCACCCTCTCCTTGTTCTGCTCTCCCCACCTATCCCTCCTGCGATCTACCGATTTCCCTTTCTTTTTCTCTCTCCCTTTCCTAACATGTTTTAATCACAATTTAATATATATTTTATCATATAAACGTATTATGAATCTTTTTTAATTCTTTTCAAATTTTAAATTGTTTTGTTTTTTGTGAAGCGCCTCGTTATTTTTATCTTGAGAGGCGCTTTATGATCTTCCTCCCACAACGCTTGTTGCGTGAAAGTCGAAGGCTTAATTGTATTGTAGTTTAGGAATTTTACCATTTTTTTCTTCATTTAATCATCGTGTTACTAAAACTTGCTGTGAACGCGCTCCTGTTTCCTCCTCCACGTGTCTTGGTTGTTTGCAGGACTCACTTCCTTAGCAACGAGCGTCTCGACCCGGAAGTATTTTCTTGTCCTTTAGCTGACAGCTGTAGACCGCACAGAGTCGAGAAAGTGACAGTAAAGTTTGTTTTAAGTAAAAAATGTCAGGTTTAGCAGCTATTCTTAGCTTTTCGGCCCATGTCCGCTAACATAATGGACAAAAAGAGTTGTGTCGCTGAAATGAGAAGAAGGAAGACTGTGAGTTATGACGGTTTTGCTGTTGTGCTAGCGACCTGGTGGCTAACAAGCTAAAGCTAGTTGAAATTACTTGGTTTTGAATGAGTTTCATTAATCAAACGGACACGTAGCACAACCAATAAACGTTATTCTGATATTATTAATCATTTATTGATGTACATAAAAATGAATTAGTCTTCTCGCGAAAATTCCTGTTAACGTTCAGCTTTTAATTTGAGGATCAGGGGGTTCTAATAGATTTAAGACATAGTTAGAGACAAATTTAATATCACCTGTGTTTTCTACATAACTGGGTTTAAATAGCCTAAATATAACGTTTAGAGTTGTGGATTGAATCAATTTGCCCGTTAAATACTTTTCTTTTAGGATTGTAACTTTCCTGTTGGTTTTATCCAGTGCACGGCTACACATTAAGGTTTGAATGTGGACATGTTTTGCACATCTTGTCTTTGCACATATTTGTATACAAAGCTGAAGAGCTGTGGTTTCAATGGCTTGTTTTTGTGTATCTGTTACTGAGCCCATCCATGCAGAGACACGAGTCACTGAGACACTATTTGTTTATTTTAAAATAACAGTTACGTTATTCTGATTCCTATAAAAGGGCTTTCCTTTGTGTTCAGTTGGAAAGTGAGCCTGAACCATTGTCAAATGCATACAGCTGACTTGTCATCTCATAGCATTCTTGTGCTGAGATATTTTTATTTTTCCTGGTAAAAAAAAATCTAAAATTAAAAAAGAGTACTCACCTCGATTACTGGTAATCTAATGTGTGTACGTGGGAAACCGGAGCTTGATAAAACAGATACAGCTTGATGCAACATCTCTGCTTCATCACCAACAATTAGGGTGGATGGAACATTTAAATTCATTATTGCGGTGTTTATTAAAAAGATGAATTGCAAAAAGCTGTTTTTTGTTCTTCTGAAATTGTTGATCATTGTTAGGATTTAAACTCCAGTGGTATTCACTACTTCTCTCACAGGTTTGCCAGGACAATGATTTCCCCACGACTGCGTGACAGGCAGTGATCGGCTTGTCAAGTTATGCAGGGGTTATGGAAAGTCTAATCAGTTATGCTGAAGAACAGCCACCTTCCTCTCTGATGACCAACTCCTCGTCCCTAAAACAGGAGTCAAACGAGAGCGGCAGCCCAAAATGTGTGGGAGGATTTGTTTTAGTACACGCAGGTATGTCTGACCATCCCAGACAAGACCATCTGAGCAGAAGCTAGATGTTGATCCATGTTGCCTGTTTTTGAAAGTTGGTTGTTTTATATTTGCTGAAGGATTTTTGCTCCTTAGCTTATTTTAAGAGTCTGAACTGCAAGATGACATTGGATATGTAACCTTTACTGTGAGACCATGTGTCTATATGGAAGCATCAGTTGCTCTAAAACCTGCATGTTGAGTTTAGCACTAATAGCACCTTCACAAATATTCACATTAGCTGTCGTATATTTTCTTATGCAGTATTAAATAAATATTTACATAGATTTTACAGCCAACAACATATCAGTTTCTCATTGTGCTTAAGCTGTCTGGGATTCACTTGGTTTGGGTAACATTTCTAGATCCATTTTAGAAAAATACCTAAGTGCTTCTCAGCCCTTGATGTCATTAATTGTGAGATTCTGTTGTTTAAATTAATGGTCAAACATTTTTGCCAATGATTTGCTTTTAGGTGCAGGATATCACTCTGAGTCTAAGGCCAAGGAGTACAAGCATGTTTGTAAAAGAGCCTGCCAGCGAGTGAGTTTACTCTATTACTCTTTGTTAAACAGCCGTCTTTGGTACTAGGAGTGTTTAGCATATATTTGTGTATTTTGGATTGATGCTTAGTACAAAAATTAGATACAAGCTCTTTTTTTGGTTTTACTCAAGCTGATTGGAGGTCGATGAGGAGCGTCAGATTTCAGCTGATCTTCCATATCTTTTCTTTGTGGTTCCAGAACTTTACTTTGGCTGCATTCATCTTTTATATTATGAAGTATTTCAGGTTTTCTCTTACTGGAAAAGTCTTTGTTTTTCCAAAGCAAGGAATTTTCAGGAATTCATTTGCATTATTCATTATTTTTTTCTTTAGAAAAGCTTTATTTTACAGAGTTTTGTACGGTATACGGCATAATGTCATCCTTTTTTTGTTTAGTTTCATCTGCTCATATGTGTCTAAATTTTTATGTAAAGTGCAAAACAGTTACCGTTACGGTCAATTCAATTCAACTGGAGTTTATTCATATAGCGCCAAATCACAACAAGAGTCGTCTCAAGGCACTTCACACACTAAACATTCCAACACAGGTCAGTTCATTAAACCAGTCAGTAAAAAGTTTCCTATATAAAGAACCCAGCAGATTGCATCGAGTCACTGACTAGCGTTAGAGGCTTTACAGAAGGGGTGGGGAACCCTGGTCCTCGAGGGCTGGTATCCTGCACGTCTTTGCTCCAACACTTCTGATTCAGTGGTTGATTCACCTGTTCAGCAACTCATCAAGCTCTGCAGAAGCCTGTTAATCACCTGCTGATTGAAATCAGGTGTGATGATGCAGGGTTGAAACTAAAATATGCTGGGTAGCGGCCCTCGGTTGACCAGGGCTCCCCACCCTTGCTTTACAGCAATCCTCTTACTAAGCAAGCACGTAGCGACAGTGGAGAGGAAAACTCCCTTTTAACAGGAAGAAACCTCCAGAGGATCCTGGCTCAGTATAAGCAGCCATCCTCCACGACTCACTGGGGATGGAGAAGACAGAGCAGGCGCACACACGCACACACACACACACACACACACACACACACACACACACACTACAGGTGCTGAAAAAAAATCAATTTCAAGTCTGAATTGGGATTCTTATTTATAAAGATTCAGAATCGATTCACAAAGATTCAGATTCGATTCCAAGAACTGAAATATTTGGCACGTTACAGGTTTGAGATGCACTTTTTTGATCTTTGTTAGGAGAGTCAGTACTCTGTTTACTTTTGTGCTCCCATAAACTGATGATTTATGTTTGAATCTGCTGATAAAAATGACATGCAAGTGTCCTCTTATCATACTCAGAAATTTGAGTTATTCTCATATTTATTTTCTAAGTTGATAAGTGAGTACTCAGGATTACTCATGTAACTTGTTTCTACAAATACTTGAAAAGTATTTGACCGTATTACTTTCAGAGCTACTGTTGGGTAACTGCAGATTAGTTATATTTTACATACAAGGTAAGCAAAAATAAATGTTGCCTTTTGGTCAAAAGATTGTTTCTGTTTACAGTTTTAGAATCACTTTAATTTACATTGTAAATTTGCATTTTTGGAGCACGACCAGTTTAAAGTCAAATAAAAATGTCCCATAGCTTTAACTAACTTGTACAACAAAGTAGTTCATCCTGGAGCTGACACTATTAATACTGGTTGTGAATCAATTTAAATAGAGAATAGAGAATCGATTCTGAATCGAATCGGCACCCCGAGAATCGGAATTGAATCAAATCGTGAGTTGCTCTAAGATTCACATCCCTAACACACACACACACTCACTCACACACACACACACACACACGCACGCACGCACGCACGCACGCACGCACGCACACACACACACACACACACACACACACACGCACGCACGCACGCACACACACACACACACACACACACAGCATACCAAGTAGTGTTTCTATGGCTACATTGTAATTTCTTAGTACATATTCTATTTAGTAAGAGATCAACTTTATTGTCTTTATCTTAGTGAATGTATAATTAATTCAACAGGTGAACTAGTAGTAGCACATTCCATGTCAAGCAGAACATCGTTGTAGCTTCTGATGAGAAAAACACTTGGAGAGAAAATAAAGTTAACAGCTGAAATAGCAGAAAATAATGAAATTAGATGGTAGTGGTAGAAGAAAGTAGTAAAATGTTGGAAATTGGTCAGTGTGTCCTCCAGCAGTCTAAGCCTATAGCAGCAAAACTACAGAGATAACTCCGGGTAACCTAGCCTTTTAGATGGAGGCAGGTCTTTACTGACTGTACTCCCCGCTGTACACTCAACTGGAGTCAATCACTGATTCCAGTTTGGCAGATCTTGTTATTTTTCTTTATCAACAGATACAAAAGTTTTTTTTCCTACTATTAAAAATATTAATTGCAATAAATACATGAAATTTTTTTAACTAAAATATTTTCCACACAAATCAGCACTTTTCTTCTCCCTCCTTAAAATGTTTTAAGGAAAAAAAGAAGAAATGTTTGATTCAGAAAAGTCTAATCAGTCTATTTTTCTGTTAATGCTCTGAACCTTATTTTAGACAGTTAACTGTTAGAGTTTTGATGATAAATGACCTTCGTCTGTCTGAGTCAGAGGACTCCAAAGCACTTCACGCCGCAGTTAATCATTCCTCCATTCACACACTGATGATGATGAGCTACATGGCAGTCACAGCTGCCCTGGGGCACACTGACAGATGCAAAGCTGCTGGGCACAGGCACCACCGGTCCCTCTGATTCAAATTCAAACATACTTTGTTAATCCCAGAGGGAAATTACCACCATCAGGCTGACATGACTGCATGGCCTGGGTTTGAACCTTCAACCCACCAGTTACACGGTCAATCCCTGAGGCACTGTTGCCCCTGAGTTTCGACACTTATATCTAGAAATCATAGTGTCGTCACTTTCTCTTTCCTTTATTAAGTTAAAGAAAACCAAGTAAGTTGAGTTTCAGGAACATTACTGTTTCTTGTCCAAGCAGGATAACTCAGTTTTGTGTAATTGTGCTGAAGAGTATTATGATTGTATGAAAGTTAATCTGATTCTTATGAAGAACAATATTAATGAAGTTGCGCAAAGGCCAAAAACCTTGTATTTGTTTTAACACGAGGGTTATCTAACTGTGTCGTTGTTCTCTTTAGGCTGTGGACCAACTGAGAGCTGGAGCACTTGCAGTGGAAGCAGTGACTGCAGCTCTGGTTGAACTCGAGGTACGCTGTTCCTGAATCACACCCAATAATGTAAAAGCTGCTCTAAAAAACCTATTTAGAAAGGCTTTCAAACTTAAATGTTGTAGTTTTTACCAAAGAAAATATATTTTAGAGTACCTGAAGAAGGTCGCATGCGACAGAAACGCGTCGGCTTATATTGTAATGAATTATATTTCGAAGTGCCTCAGATCATGACTTTTTTCCTTCCATGTCTACTTTTGATATTTTACAGTATGTTGAGTTTTTGTAACAAAGGCAGCGAAAGAGTTGTGTTAGCCAATCAGAGGCAAGACTTTTGCATATCATGAATATTAACAAGGAAAAGTTGTAATCCTGCCATTTTCTGACACCCCCCACACTTCTGAAAAACGTCTACCCCCTGAAACAGGAGATCCAGAACTTTTTCCACAAAAAACAACTCAAAAGGTAGTAACTTTTACTAAAGACCAGCAGATTTATTGAAGGGGAAAAAAAGAGTGACTGAGACCTTTTAGATAATTTTCTATTGGTCATTTTGTGTTTTGGTCAAACAAAACCTTGGAAAATTGTGTGTAAAGCTTCTTGAAAGGCATGAGCCAACAGAAGTTTATAGATAATTATCTAATGCTGCCATCCTGTTGCATTGAAGCACATAAGAAGTAGACGATGTTATAAATGACCCGTACTTGTATAGCGCCTTTCAGAGTCAGAGGTCTTCAAAGAGCTTTACACTACAGTGTATCATTCATCCACACACACACACACGCACGCACGCACGCACACATTCACACCCTGGTGTGATGTAGCCACAGCTGCCCTGGGGCACACTGACAGAAGCAAGGCTGCTTAGCACAGGCGCCACCACGAGCAGTCAAGCTGGGTTGAGTGTCTTGCCCAGGGACACAGCAGCAGAGTTCTCTGTTATTATTGGTCAAGAATCTTTTGGTGGGGGTAAATATTTGTCTGGGACAATAGTGAGGATGGATATTGATGGCTCAACTCTTGAGATTATTTTCTAGAGATGCTGTGAAATGTAACTGTTAGAACCAGACTCGTTGGGCCACAACATTAAGTCTTAAGAAGAAATGGACATTTTTCTAGCCAAAGCTGTGGTGAATCATCAGATTAATTTGCAAACGTGCCTATTTTGCTATGAGCTAAAAATTCATCAAAAAGATGCTCAACAAGAACTAAATAAGAAGCAAAACCTTCATGTTAGATTCACAAATGGATATTAGCATCACACATATAAAAGTAAGTAAGTACATTTTATTTATTTAGCATTTATCACAGACATCGAATCACAAAGTGCTTCACATAGATCAAAACAAAACAAAACTAAGTCATAAAATCATAAACAGATTAACATAAGAAAAAAAAGAGCAGAGTATAATTAACCCACCAGCCTTTTAAAATGTCAGTGACACTTTTGTACAAGTCCAGAATCTTTGTGCTGTTGTGTTACAGAAAAAAGTTGCACTGCTGATGTGTTTCTGGTCGAAATAGTTTAACTTAACCTTTTGACCTTTAGTTGATCAAATAGGTTTTCTTTGTTTTGAGCTTTTTTCTTATGATTGTTTTGGTCCCAGTAAGGAAAATGAATGAATTAAAACAGTATTATAACAATATAATAGTCGATAAAATGACATTTTAACTAGACTTAAAAAAAAAAAATTCATGATTTCGTTGACTTTTTTAAGTGCTGCTTTATTCTGCTTATTTCCATTGTTCTCAGGACTCTCCCTTTACAAACGCTGGCCTGGGCTCCAACCTTAATTTGTCAGGAGAAATTGAATGTGATGCAAGCATCATGGATGGAAAGTCGCTGCACTTTGGTGCAGTGGGATCTATCAGTGGTGAGTTCCTGTTGTCAGAACAATGAAATAGTTCCCTTTTCTATATTTATAGCTCAGAATAAGCTGTAGAATTTCCCAGAGAGCTTTTAACAGAATAATTTTTATTCCTTCACTTGCTAGTTATTGCCAACAACACATTAGAGTTGACAGGAAGCATTTAATATTTAATCCAAAGACAAAATATAGTTTTCATGATCACTTGTCTGCAAGATGTCAGCCATATTTTTCCCACATTATTTGACTTACTTGGGGATGAATGCGTACGTGTCAAATAAAGAATTCAGCATATTTTCACATTATAGTTTTTTCAAAACGTCAACATTGTATTCTGTCTACGAAAAACTGACAGGTTTGTACTTTTAATGGCTCCGACCTGCTATCACAGCTCTTTTCTTTACTAAATTGGCCAAATAATTCAAGTAACATATCTTGATCCTGGCGCTTTGCTTTGTTTTTTGCTGTAACGCCATGACAGGGCATGAACTGTCTTCTCTGTGTCTGTTTACTTTCCCCACAGGCATTAAGAACCCAGTCCTGGTTGCCAACTGTCTGCTGAACGAAGCACAGAAAGGGAAGCTATCAGCTGGGAGAATACCACCTTGGTAACCATCATGGCTCATCATCAGCATTGGGCTTGTCACTGCGTCCCTCTTGTATATATTGTATTATTTTTCAGCTTTCTAGTGGGGCCAGGAGCTCACGATTGGGCAGTCAGCCATGGAATACCTCCGTGTCCTTCAGAGAAAATGGCTACAAGTCAGTGTAGATTTAAAAGCATAAGAAATCCATTTGTTTGTTTTATAAGACATTTGCCATTTTATATGAATGTAACCCAGGGTTCAGTTTGTCTGCCTACAAAAGGAACAAACGGAAGATGGAGCTGGCGGAGGGAACGGTCCCAGGACAAAATCGGACTAAGAAAAGACGACAATCAAGTGAAAATGTGAGTTTTTTGTGTAAATTGATGTGTAAATAGTTTTACAGCAATAAATGTTCTATCATCAATTATTTCCAGGGATATCTAATATTAGTGGCCTACCATTATTATCGGCTGAAATCAGCATTAAGATTCAATATTTAATATTATTGTATCAATTATTACTCTTTTAATAACTAAATCTTTAAATATCACGCACAAATTAGGCATCAAACTCTTCAGCTACTTGTCTCACTTAAAATCAATCAATCACCTTTATTTATAAAGCACCTTACAGGCATGAAACATGCCACCAAAGTGCTGTACAATAAAAATAAAAACGTAAAACCAGGAAAAAAACATGAAAAAAATACCCCAACAATAAATGCATAACAGCATAAAAGCATGTAAACATAACAGCAACAGCTAACCCATAGAGTTAAAAGCCAGATCATACAAATAGGTCTTTAACCTCTACTGATGGAGAAGCTGAATGGTTAAGGGAAGGGCATTCCATAGTCTTGGACTTGCCACCGAGAACGCCCGGTCCCCTCGTGTCCTCAGCCGAGTTCTGGGAACTGAGAGCAGTAACTGGTTCACAGAACGGACAAAATGTCAAAATATAACAGATCTGAGGTTTAGTTTTTGTTTGTTGGGCACAACTGGCCTAAATTAAATTGAAGTATTTGTCATTTTTTTTCCTCAGATAATGTTTAAAGTTTAAGTATAAATGATAGAAGATGTTTGATATTAGTTGCCTAAAATGATTATTTTTTAATAAGAAGGGGCGTTGGTATTGGTTTGGTGTCAGAAATTCAGATTTGACCGCATCGGTATATCAGATATCTGTAAAAAAAAAAAAGCCGATATTGAACATCTATAATCTCTTCCCTACTGTTTTAAGGCAGAATTTCATTATAAAAAGATTTTTTGTTGGTTTTTGACTCCAACATGCCAGCATATGACAACATATTAGGTCCACCCATTGTAGTTTGGTTTATTTTTCCTTCAGAATAATGAAGTGATGATGTGAAAAACAATAATAAGTAGCTAGAGAAATCTGTTGCTGACTAACCAGCAAAGTGAATAATCAAGTAACAGACTTTAGTTACAATATTACGATGCAAGAGTTGTCATCCTAAAATGTGGAGCAAAGTGACAATTTAGTGTAAAGGGTTAATTTACATCTAATTAAGGAACCGTAAAACATAGGGTTCCATAGTGAATATGAAATCAATCTTACGGACCGTTGGGTTATTTTAACCAGAAGATTGGAACTTTTTATTGCAGGGATTATGTAACACTTGTATTAACTGAGAGACAAGAGAAGAGCGAGTCACCTTTAAAACGTTTAAGAAGATTTATTTCTAAACAATTTTAAATAATTTTAAACAAGACTTACTCTAACTCTAAGTGATGAATGGATCTGGTGTGAATGAGACGTGAGATGAATGGTGTATGTGTGAGTGATGTTGTAATCAGAACTATCGTATCCGGAGAAGCAAGTCTGAATGATGTTGTGATGTTTTGCTTTTAGCTATGATCGGAGTTATGATCGGAGTTTCATAAACACATTCGACACCATATTTGTCGCTCTACACATACCCTTAGGATGAGACCTCCTTACAGATCCAGACTGCCAGGTCCTCGAACCCCCCTTCGGTACTGGAGCCGATGAAACAGCGTCAGCAGTACGACAGACTAGTCTTTGGATTGTCTCCAGGTAAAAAGCGACAGTTGGTTCACAGCGTCAGATGGACCCCCTTGGGTCAGTGAGTTCAGCTTTTATTCTGAAAGGAACTGCTTCTTGGTTGGAAAAATGCAGCAGATTTTATCCAGCTTGTTGGTTCTTTGCTTAAAAAGGAAGTCCGGGTGGCCGGTCCGATACTTCGCTTAGCATGCGGTGAACTGCAGAGAGCTCCAGAGAACTCCTGTGAACCCTTGAGAACTGATGAGAACTGAACTAAGATGTCGTGGGACTGGTTTTATTAATCTGGATGTTTTGATTTCTGGTCGAATCAAAGTTGGCAGATTTATAAACACCACAGAGACTATGCCACGCTTCAGAAAGGAAGGTTCTGATTGGATCAGTGAAAGCAATGTGTCATGCGTTTACATTACGTGTAGTCAGAATGTCTAGTGCAGCTAGATTAAAGTCATATTACTTATTAAAGCATATTAATCATAACATTGTTATTTCACGGATTGGTCAACATTATATTATTGACTAACATTTGTTTGATTAGCTTTATTAAAAATAGAGTTCTTTGATTTTTTAAAAGGAAAGAGTCCTTTTTCTTCATTCTTCTCTTGAGCTGGAAAGGAAGCAGTTTAGAAGCAAATGCATGACCTTGAGGCAGTCTCATGCAGATTAGTACTGTGTCAGAGGCATCTGTGGAGAGAGGGTAAATAACCTTTGGTGGAATAGCACCTTCATCACGTTACATACCCCCCTTTTCAAGGGCACGGTGGTCCGTCCAGAGACCACCTGACATTGAACAAACCAGAGTCTTGAAGGACTCTGATGATAGAGCAGGGTGCAACTCCCCAGGAAGAGGCCAAAAGTGGTGAGGTACGAACCCCACTCCGAAGAACAGTCTCGCATACTCCTCGGGAAGCACACAAGTCAGCAGATTATCAAGATATCCCTGTAGAAGAAACAATTTGAAGCAGGAACAAAACTTTATATATCCACGGGTCGGGAATACTTCCAAAATAGTATTTTGATCTTTGTAATTGCACTTATCGTGATCCTGCACAGGAAAGAGCAGCAGGCAGGTCAGGTCCCAGCGAGCGAAGTATCCCAGCAGTCATGCACAAATGGACGTCCAGGTCCTACGAGCCGGAACACCAAGCAGGAGGAGAATCCGATGACGAGTCATAGGTCCACTCCCAGGAAGCAGGATCATTGACGAAACTCAGCAGAGGAGAGAGAGCACAGCACAGGGCACTTCAATGTAGACACAACAAAATGGCGTCTAATGCAAATTAATAAACAAAAAGAAACCTAGCACTGTGAGTACCTGCATGTACTATGTGTAGGAATTATGTGAATTAGCATTAAGCGAAGAAATGGGTGCAATTCAATTCAAATTCAATTCAATTCAAATTCAAAAATACTTTATTAATCCCAGAGGGAAGCTGATTGCTGTAGTAGCTCAGAATAATAATAATAATCAAGTCATCAAAGAGTTGTTGTATATTACAATGGCTGTTGGCAGGAAGGATCTCCAGTAGCGGTCAGTGTTGCAGCCAAACTGAAGAAGCCTCTGACTGAAGACACTCTTCCGTTGTCGGACAGTCTTGTGAAGAGAATGCTCAGGGTTGTCCATCATGTTCTTGATTCTCTGGAGAATCCTTCTTTGCATCATCTCCTCCAGCGGTTCCAAAACTGCCGACACTGGCTGAGTCCTTGAAAGGGCTTGGAGTTCCTCCATCTGGTTGGCCAGTGATCTCACATTGCCCATTACGATAGATGGAAGAGATGGTTTGAATTTCCTCTTTCTCTGTCTCCGTTTTGCTCCCGCTCTGCACCCACGCTTCTTGTGTTTTAGCTCATTTGGGATTTATGGCTTCAGTTGAGGTATTATTTCAGCCTTTCCAATGTTAATCAGCTGCTCCCAATTGTAAACCAGCTTGTTGCCATGGTTACACATCATAACAAATGCTCAAAAAGTGAAAAAAGCTAAAAAAAAAAATAGCAGTACAAATCCTCCAAACTTCACAGCACCAGAAACAGAAAAGTAAAGTGTCCAAAAAATACTGTTTTTCTTGAGAAACTAGAAGAAAAAATACCCAAGAAACGGCAAAACTTACATATAGTCAACAGAGCTACTCCAACATGCAGCCACCCAGAGCAGCGCAGTTCCGAAAAAGAAAAGAAATCCGTGTCAGTGATGCTTTTTAGAATTTTAGAGTAAACTTTAGAGTCTCACCTTTATTCTGATACCAAAACAGCTCAAATAAACCTTGTAGTTTATGAGATATACTCGATTCACTTTGGGTATGTCTTTTTCAAGAAAATCTCTGAAAAATGGCCTGTGGTTCAGTCCAAACTGATAAGTAACATGTTAAACATGAGGTATCTGAACCATAATAGAGGGATTCATATTTCAAGGGTGGAAACAAAACCCATTGCACACTGCTGTCAACTAGCAGTCGGCATTTCAATTGCACCAAAAGAAAAAATAAATGCACAAATGTTTGCATGTAAATTCTTCCAAAAATTCAATGCACAGTTTTTTTACCATCGATATAATATCTCAGGAAAATATATCATGATATATTGCCATATCTATATTTTCATACATCTCTACTATTCAGGTTAAAACTCTGCTGATGATTAAGATGTCCCCATAACATGTCCCTTCCTAAAACTACGTTCATGGCTACAATTAGTTGACTTACATTTAAACAGGAAATTTGCCCCCGAAGTAGCTGCTACCGGCTCCTGATCCGCCATCCTTTTGAAAATACTGTGGCTAGGTTACAAGGCACCCTAGCTAAACTGCTAACAAACTAAAAACAGATGCCTAGGTAGCACATAAGAATTGTCATACGCCTTGGCGGCTCCTGATTGCGTATCTCCTAGGCAACTGGGGTGGGACCAAGGCATCGAGGTGAGGTTCCTTGTGAAAAACTCACAGGGACTAATTATAATCAGAAATAATAATTAAACCTTCTGAGTGGCCTAGTGGTAGAGTGTCTGCTCTGGGACTGGGAGATCGGATCCCGGTAGGGTCATACAAAAGACTTTAAAAATGGGACCCAATTCCTCCCTGCTTGACACTCTGCTTTAAGGGGTTGGATCGGGGGTTAAACCACCAAATAGTTCCCACAGCTGCAGCTCACCGCTCCCACGCGGATGGATCAAATGCAGAGTGTGTGATGACTAATGTGACTTTAACTTTAAAAAATGTTTTTTCAGTCAGCCACACCTTTAAGCATCCTCTGAAGCTCTTACATTCATTAGAAAAAATAAATCTGAAATGTTTAATCTAATTCCGTGTATTTCCATTTGCTAGTTAATTAATAGTTAAACTGAGAATGACCTTGTTTTATTCTAACTAGCTATTACCGGTTGGGTTCAGGAAAACCGTTTCAGCAGTCTGGTTTTAATTTTATTCACAATGTTCTTTTTAAACCTTTGTCTTGTTGCCAAGCAATGAAATCTTTTCCATTCCTCTCAGTTCAGCCTGGACACCTGTGTCCCGGTGGTGCAAAGTTAAGATTTTTAACAAATTCTGAATCCTATTTCATTTTAAAGACGTTCCCTTATTCACATTATTTATAGTCATCGTGTTTTTCTGTTTGTTGTGTGGAGAGACACAAATAAAGTTGTGTTTTTTGTGCCTTATTTATCTATTTTAGGTTTCCCAAGCTTAGAAGATTGATGAGAAACATTCTTGCACCCCCCCACCCCCCTGCCATTCCATTTTGCTTTTTCAGTCCAAGTTTTAATCAAGTTCTTTAGTTTGCTGCACAAGTGGAATTCTGATCATGCATCATGACTCCAGCTTAACATCTAGAATCGTATTTATCATTCAGTCTGACTCACGATGGTTCACAAACCACCTCCAATGCAAACTTCAGAGCCAGCTGGAATTAAAGCTTTTTATAAAAGATGAACAGCCAGAAAGAACAATTTTCTTCTTTTGTTAAAACATTTTTGCTTCAGAATGTTTGTTGTTCTTTTCTGTGTTGCTCAAACATGCACTTGATAGCTGCTCTCGTGTACAACTTGTGACTATTTTTCTCAATGCAACGTAGGGAAATGGCTCAGGGTGCCTGGACACGGTGGGAGCTGTGGTGGTGGACTTGGAAGGGAACGTCGCTGCAGCTGTGTCCAGCGGAGGCCTTGCTATGAAACACCCCGGCAGGATTGGCCAGGTAGAGACCGAGGCTCTCATTTGTCTTGGTTTTTGTCTTTACTTTAATATTTCAGCTTTGAACAGTCTTTTTTTATTTGTCATCTCAGGTCCTTAGTGCCAGTTTTCTTAATAGAAAGTGCAGTTTTCTGTTTAGATGCTTGTGGATCAATTCTGCAGCTGTTTCTCTGTCCAGATTATCTGTCTGTGAGAACTGATGATGCTTTTGTTTAAGAGCTAAATCAGGTACATTTTGCACCATCATGAGAGAAATTAGGGCATTCCATGGAAAATTATAATATTCTGTATATAATTTTATTCATTTTCTTTGGAACAATGTAATTATAAAGGGCTATATGTGGACCCTCTTTCAGAATCTGTGAGACATCACCTTAACGAAACTTAAGTTTAACTTCTCTGTTTGGTCATGTTGTTGGTGGGTTTTTATACCTAGGCCGTATATGTATATGTGTAAATATATATATATATATATGTATATATACACACAGGGCTGTTCCTGCATTCAAATTTGCGTGGCGGCCGCCTCCAGCTGTTTTTGTGCCGCCCCAGCCTGATTTCACTCTGCCCCCAGCGATATGGATGTTATTGTAACTGCAGTTGCAGTGCTGTGCCACTACAGGGGCGCTGTATCAGCAGCGGTGCACCGAAAAGCGCTAAAACCGCTGCAGAAAAAAAAGATCAAAAATTGCTTTTCTCGCTAGTTGGTACATATTTATGGTTGATGCTATTGTAGGCTGACCATACGTCCTCTTTCCCCCGGACATGTCCACTTTTCACTCTCTGTCCGGGAGGGTTTCCTACATTGATCACGATGTCCGGTTTTTCATCCAGGAGCAGGGATCGAGTTATGGGGCTAGATATCTGTCAGGAAAAGATCTAGTTTCTACCTATATTACAATATTTATGGACTCTCAGCGTAGTGGGATTCTGTGGAGTGGAGAGGACGCAGAGCGCTGATCGTTGGTGTCCCCGCTGCGTCTGGCGCACGTTTCATTCTCAAGGAGAGACAGTAGAAGCGATTTGTGGCAGCGGCAGCGCGAGTGGCAGTTCCGGTGGCAGCCCCCAACACTTCCGGGTGGTGCCACGGCTTTTAGTGGCACCTGCCACAGCTGCCACGGCCCCTGCCACTGCTGCCACGACTTTTAGTGGCACCTGCCACAGCTGCCATGGACCCCGCCACTGCTGCCACGACTTTTAGTGGCACCTGCCACAGCTGCCACGGCCCCTGCCACTGCTGCCACGACTTTTAGTGGTGCCACAGCTGCCACGGCTTACAGTGGCACCTGCCAGAGAAATGGTTGGCTCTACCAGCCTGGAGCGGCACCTCTGGCAGATCGGAGTGTCATCTCCTTGCCAGACAGAGCTGCCACTACGGATAACACAATAATTGCAGCACTTATCATATCATCGGCCTCATCGTGCCAACTTTTATTTTTTTACTTTATTAACAAAACCAAAACAAACAAGGCAACGAAAAAATTTGAAATATTTCGAGTGGTTTACAAATACATTTCCCAGTCACTCCTTGCATATACAGTAATGCAATCAGAAGCGTTAATGCATTTAATTTTTCCATCATTTTTATTGCTCCCCCAGACGAATCCGTGGCAGCTCTAGTGGCAGATCCACTGACACTTCCGGGTTGAAGACCCGGCGTTGGGTCACCGGCCTCCAGTACGGAGTCAGGCTGCAGGTGGAGCACCAGAGGCAGATGGAGAGCGCCAGAGCAGTTTTGAATTTTTGAAATAATTTGACTACTGCTACCAACGTGGATTGTGGAATAAAAAGAGATAACTGTTAGTTTTCTCATATTGTCATTGCAATCGGGGCACATAAAGCCATCTTCCGGCTTAAAATGGGTATTGCAGTAAATTTTAAACAACTTGGAAGTGAAAAGGCTGTGTGTCAGTCGGCTGATTTAAACCTTAAAAGGCATTTCAACTTATTTAAACGCTTTCCATCAACAAGTATTATAGGCTATTATAGGAAATGATTTACAAACATATTTTAGTCCTCACAATACCCCTACATGCCATTGCATGTAAATAAATAATAACAGGCTTGTGAAAAGAATGTGGTTATGTTATAAATTTGAGTTACACAGAAATTATAGTATTTCAAACTTTCTTTTCTAGATTCAATGTGAATCACACAAGGCAGTAAGCTCATCAAAGCAATCCCTCAGACTTTGTGATGTCTTATAACTTAATAAGTAATGTAAACCTCGTGCTTCCAGCGTATTTTTATTAATGTACATAATATCTTTTAAAATGAACAAAACAACACCCTATCACAATCAGACATATTTTGATTCATGAGTTATTGCCTACCAATTCTCTTCAAATACAATAACTCCTCCATTTTCCCTAATAAAAAGTTAAATATAAGTATTCTAAATTCTTGATTTTTTCACAACACAAAAGGCGATTGCAGTTCACTTATGATTAACGAAATATATCCCTCTTCTCACCCTGTGGGGGACGCTCCAGGAGTATGGGGTGGGTGGCTTTCTGTTAAGGGCCATTCAGTCCCTTTACCAGAGGAGCGTGAGTTTGGTCCGCATAGCCGGTAGTAAGTCGGACCTGTTCCCAGTGAGGGTTGGACTCCGCCAGGGCTGCCCTTTGTCACCGGTTCTGTTCATTACCTTTATGGACAGAATTTCTAGACGCAGCCGTGGAGTGGAGTGTGTCGAGTTTGGTGGCAGGAGAATCTCGTCTCTGCTTTTTGCGGATGATGTGGTCCTCCTAGCTTCATCCAGCTCTGACCTTCAGCTCTTGCTGGGTAGGTTCGCGGCCGAATGTGAAGCGGCTGGGATGAGGATCAGCACCTCCAAATCTGAGACCATGGTTCTCGACCGGAAAAGGGTGGCTTGCCACCTCCGGGTCGGGGGAGAGGTCCTACCTCAAGTGGAGGAGTTTAAGTATCTCGGGGTCTTGTTCACGAGTGAGGGTAGGAGGGATCGGGAGATCGACAGGCGGATTGGTTCGGCGTCTGCAGTGATGCGGACGCTGAGCCGATCTGTCGTGGGGAAGAGGGAGCTGAGCCAGAAAGCCAGGCTCTCGATTTACCGGTCGATCTACGTCCCAATCCTCACCTATGGTCATGAGCTTTGGGTAATGACCGAAAGAACGAGATCGCGGATACAAGCGGCCGAAATGAGTTTCCTCCGTAGGGTGGCCGGGCTCAGCCTTAGAGATAGGGTGAGGAGCTCGGACATTCGGGAGGGACTCGGAGTAGAACCGCTGCTCCTCCGGATCGAAAGGAGCCAGTTGAGGTGGTTTGGGCATCTGGTCAGGATGCCTCCTGGACGCCTCCCCGGGGAGGTGTTTCGGGCATGTCCTGCCGGCAGAAGGCCCCCGGGTCGACCCAGGACACGTTGGAGAGGTTACATCTCCAATCTGGTCCGGGAACGCCTTGGGGTCCTGCCGGAGGAGCTGGTGGACAAGGCCGGGGAGAGGACGGCCTGGAGCTCCCTAGTTGGGATGCTGCCCCCGCGACCCGGACCCGGATAAGCGGAGGAAGACGAGACGAGACGAGATATCCCTCTTCTGATTAAAAAATATCTTTAATTTAGATCATACAAAATGTCTCATTAAGTAATTGAAACCACTGAACATTTATTTTTCATTGTACATTTGCTCATACTATGGGAAGATCTTTATGCCTTATTCCCTATTAAATTTTTCGGCTCTTACAAAATAAAATGATCCGTAATTAATTCTTTACTGTAAGTTTTTCATCCACAGATACTTACATTTAAGACCTATTGGCTATTTCCTCTCTTTAATAAAGATCTCTGGCCTTATTTTTTTAATCGTTGACATGTATGGATTGGACTAATGCTGTAAAACTGTAAGTTGGTTGAGGACTTTAAATTCACAAAACATCCCTTGCACCCGTTTCTTCCTTCTCTTTTGTTCCTCCTATATTTGTGTGTTTTTTTGAACCACATATTTTTTTCCATGGTGCATGTTCCTTGTACATTCTGTACTAAAATGTGCAAATATGTTATGCACAGTTCAATAATAAAAAACAAACAAACAAAAACTGATAATTTGTTCAGAATAAAGGAGATAAACTTCTTTGGCCCTAATTTTGTCATGGCTATCGGGGCACAGATATATATATATATATATATATATATATATATATATATATATAGAGAGAGAGAGAGAGAGAGAGAGAGAGAGAGAGAGAGAGAGAGAGAGAGAGAGAGAGAGAGAGAGAGAGAGAGAGGAGAGGGAGAGGGAGAGGGAGAGAGAGAGAGAGATGCAGGAAGATGAGAGACGGACAGGAAAATAGTTAAATACAAACAAGAAAACAAGGCTTGAAAGTCAAATGTAGGTAGATTTATCTCCACTACACATTTTACCTGTATTAAACAATAAGTTATACAAATGTAATATTTATTCATCTGATACAATTCAGATTACCTTCAAATCTCAGTCTCACACCCAGGGCCGTTTCAAGGCATTTTGGGGGCCAAGGCAACACAGACGCCCCCCCCTCCCCCCCCCCCAACCCATACAAAATAGACATGCCGCCATTACATTGTTAGCAGCAGAAATTAAATGTTATTACCATTTCCATTACAAATGCATGTTAATGAAACACATTATATTTTACTGGATATGTTTTTGTGTTATTTTGATTAAGATGAGTGTTATTAATACAATCCTAAAATGTTACTGAAATGTAGGTCAAATATTTAAAAATATTTTAACTATAAATATCAGACGGGAAAAAGGGAACTAAACACGAATCTAATGCAAATTATTGAGCCTTTTATAATATTTTGCCATTAAAGAAGTGAGGCAGTTGAATGCAAAGAGTATGCATGTGCTGGCGCATGGTCAGGGTGGTACCACCTCTGCCTCAGTTTGAGCCAGGAAAAACCCTGTATACACACACACACACACACACACACACACACACACACACACACACACACACGCATAGTTTTTTTTGTTGCAACTGACCTCACAGATATGTTATTTGTCTATAGATTATTCCAAGAGAACAATAAAAAATAGCTCCAATGTGTCTTCTGTATGTATAATAAAAGAACTTTGATGCTTTTGCATCAGTCTGAATGTAATGCGCTGTGTGCTTTAAAGTTTTAATGCCCTCTGGTCAACTAAAGTTGAGCGATCAATCCACTTAGGAGAAAACTGAACTCAGCAGCTTGTAGCTTTCAGCAAACAGCTGTTACTACTAGAGCGTCCCTGCTTTCTGTTCCAGTCCCGTTTGTTTCTCCTTTTGTTGTACAATCTCAGAATTGCCCTAGCTGGATATAATAATACTAATAAACCCTAATAGAGATCGTCTAAATGAACGTGGCCTCCGTTGTACTGAGCCCTTTTGTTTAATGGCAGATGTGGAAAATCTCTTTCTCTGAGTCAGCCACAAAGAGCCCTGGGTTTCCCTTAAAGGTAGCGCAAGTAGAAAATGGCTTCACTTTGGGGCCAAAGAGAGCAAATGGATTAACTTTCACCTATTGTTAGTGAAATCTCACCCTAATAGAAACATACAGCAGTGACTGGTTCAAGGATGCTGGTAATAAGGGCGAAATGATGATAACTTTTCATTCATTCATCTTTATTCACTTTTAGATATTTTACTGTAAATCTGTCATTCTTAGCTGAGCATTTAAGCTAATTAACGTAAAATCAGCTGTTTTTCTACCCTCAGGCTGCGCATTATGGATGTGGCTGCTGGGCTGAAAATTCCGGCAACATGAACCCTTACTCTACAGCAGTGAGTACCTCAGGTATACCCCCACTTTTTTTTTGCAATTGACTTTGTTTCCGTCTGTGTGCGCAACATTAGCAGTTTTAGCACCAGCATGTCTTTGAGATGACATGAATCATCTCCAGTGAGTCGAGGCTTGAAACAGCCTGATAATCTGTTCCGTTGACCTCCAGCCGCTCCTGCTGAGTGATCCTCATCAGTCACTTCCTCAGCCAATTGAGTCATCAGACTCCACTCTTTGTTAGCCAGCTGCATGCCAGGTGCGTCGCAAAGCCCTTTGGATTTTCAGCGACATTTGACATGCTACACCTGCTGTAGATATATAACAGGAAGAGAGCTGCTGTGAGTGTAATTAAGTAATACAAAAAATCATAAATTACAGCTATTTTATTAGCTACAGTTCTTGAATTATTGACTTGCATCAATCAGATTAAGTGCACATTGGAACCTAAGAGGTACTGTTTGTTAATGTGTGGTGAAGAAATGCTAAAGATGCCTTAGTGAGCTAGTTTGATAGAGCTGGTATCGTCACTCCAATTTACGCTTCCAAATTGCATTTCTGGCATTGCAGATTCAGCAATGTGACAGTGTAGCTGCTGTTTACTGAGGTGTGTTCTGCCATCCTAGGCATGGACATCAGACTGGCTCCATCACTGCTTTCACAGCCGGTGTAAATGTGCCATATAGGGGCTGATCATACCTGGCCAAGCTGACCATAGCGTAAAAAGGTCATAAAGTCACTTACACATCTGGGTCAGTATGGTCGGGGGTGGATCATGTCAGTTTGGTCTCATACAAGCAGTTTTTGCTCACATGGTTCCCAAGCACTTCTCGGGAATGCAGGAATCCCAGAGCACGTGCAAAAGATGCGTGGGTAATGCCGTGGTGTCCTCCTGAATCAGATAAACAAAGGCGGGTGTGGTCTGTGTTGCTTTTGGAGGCTCTGGGCCACATTATTTTATTAATTTGCTTCCTGTTCTCTCTTACTGTTGCTGCTGTGCGTGTCCTCATAACCGCTGCTTCAGCAGAGGACAGGGGACAGCGTTAGGGCCACACATACACACACACACACACACACACACGCACGCACGCACGCACGCACACACACACACACACTGCTCTCTTCACACTTTCCACTCTCTGCCACCATGCTGGATCAGGAGCTCCGTGCTACAGACAGAGATGTGTACTTGACAGCAACTAGAAAGAAAAAGAATCGCGCATGCGGCTGGACCTTCTCGCCAATCAGAGGCGGTAGGCATGAATTTCAGCCGGCCAATCAGTTTATAGTGTCACCTAAGTCCCTGCTGGACCTCAGAGGCAGAGTCTAAATTAAATTCTATTCAAAAAAAAACTTTATTAATCCCAGAGGGGAATTGATTGAAAAAAGTCACTTCAGAGTGGAATACGAACATATGACCCAGATTTGAAAACAGATTCCCTTCCCGAACTGGCCCGTACTGACCTAGATGTGAAAGGGGCTTATGGTACCCCTGCTGGTGCTGATTGAGGTTGCTGGGGAGAGGATGCTTTGAGCCGGTTTGATGGCTGCTGCCCTTACGACTCAGACCTGGACAAGCGGACATAAACGAACGATAAATAGCTGCAGATTTGACAAGTAAGACTTTATCTTTGAAATTATATGAAATAAATCATGGCTTCATGCAATTGTTATCATTTTAGTGTCCTGAGTGATGGTAATGAGGCCATTTAGTGCAAAATGTTATTTTTATGGTCCTTGAATTGCCTTCATAAATATGCTTTTATGGAATCTACTCAAACCCTTCAAACGTAAATCCTAAGCTTAAACGGCTGTTCAGACAAAAGCATACTTTTATTCTGTTAAAGAAAAGTCCTTTTCCTTGAGCAGATTTATGCCACATCTACAAACCATGCTTTAGTGTTTTCAAAAATCAAAGCCTGATCTTTTTAGCTTAGAGCAACATTTTGAGGATCTTGACTGTCTAGTTTCAAACTTGAGGTAGAGCGGCCGTACGAGCCCTCTCCTTTAAGATGTGTGGACATGTGCAACGTAGCTTCTGGGGAACATTAAAAACTGATGTGGATTTGAAGCCTAATGCATCTCAGTGCAGATGAGCTGATTTGATCAGACAGGCTGAAGCTCGAGTTATTCAGACCGCTAACATACCCTGCTTTTGGCACTGAGGTAAGTCTTCCTTGATTGTCTGATCCACATCACTTGCTGAGAAAATTTAATGTAAAGAAAGAAATCCATTTCATTCATCAAACCTTTCATTTGATATTGAAGTTTATGTAGCTAATCTTAAAGACAAAGAACGTATGCCTGCAGCTTTCTGGCATTTTTCACCGAAACACAAAATTACAAGAAATTGCTTTTTTAAATTACAAACCACCTTTTAGTTTCCATTGAACCCATGTCTGTTTTATTCTGCATCTTGTCCTCGACCAAATTGATGGAAAATAACGACATCAACGCTGCAGAAACAGGTGCCATGCCTCTGTTTTCCTCTGGTTTAGTGTGACAGGGCGATGGTGTCAAATCCAGATCAACCTATCTGTGCAAGTTCTCGTTTCACTAAGACGGCTATGTTGATAAACGTCTGTTATCTCAGAGGACCGACTGTAGATGTTTGCCCTGGATCATTTCCGATCGGCAACAAGATGGCGCCTGTGCTTGGCTTAGCTGCAGTCACCGGCCACTTTTTCAAACTTTTCTCCACTAACCGCCTCTTTTCCACCTTGCTCCTGTCTGCGATCCTCTTCATTAGTGTCCCTGCTACCATCTCCTATGATCACCAGACTCTTTTGTCCTTCCGTTCGTTCACGATCGCCCAAGATGCAACGAGGATGTTCCATCCTGTTTGTTTACCTGAGTGGCGCACCGGCCCAGAGCCAAACTACGGTCCCGAGCTGCGCACCTCTAACTATGTTTGTCCGGTCCCGGGAAAACGTCGGAGGAAAAGAGGTAAACGAGCAGTAATCCAGGTGAGAATAAGACTTCTCTTAAAGCGTGGTTTATCTGGTAAACATCGGCGCGATCTTCTAGCTTCTTGTCCTTTGTTTGGTGACCTGAGCGCCACTTCCGCATTCCCACCAGGCCGCGTTGCAGCGCGGTTTCTCCGTCCAAGTTTTTCAAGGTCGGTTTATCCTCATTCCTCAGTGGTTTCTCCTCCTGTTCCCTCCATAAGTGGTTTTTATAAACACCGTGGGTCTAACCCTGCTAATTTACGTCCACTAACTCCAGCTGTTTCTGTAGTTTCTGATTCCTCCACCTCACTCAGCATGGCTCTATTAAACACCCGCTCTGTTAACAATAAGACCTTCCTGCTCAATGATCTAATTCTCTCTAAAAACCTGGATTTTCTGTTTCTGACTGAAGTTTGGCAGCAAACATCTGATTATTCTGCTCTGATTGAACTCTGCCCGAGTGGTTATTCTTTTCTTAGCCAGCCCCGGGGTTCTGGTCGTGGTGGAGGCCTAGCTGTTGTTTTCAGAGACCATCTTCCATGTAGCTCTACAACCTCTGGTCACTTTGCTTCCTTTGAACTGCAGCTGATTAAAGTCGGGCGTAAGGACCCGTTCTACTGTGCTGTGGTCTATCGTCCACCTGGTCCAAACGGTTCTTTCCTTCAGGAGTTTAGTGACTTTCTATCCTCCACTGTGAAGCTGTGCAGACTGGTGATTGTTGGTGACTTTAACATCCACGTTGATGATCCCTCCGACCACTTTGCCATGAATTTCTCCAGCCTTATGGACTCCTTCAGCTTTACCCAGCATGTTTCTGGCCCCACACACACCAGGGGGCACACTCTAGACCTTGTTTTTACCCTGAATCTAAATGCTGACAGTGTTTGTCCAGAGGACATTTACGTTTCAGATCACCATTGCATTTTCTTTAACTTGTCAGTTTCTGCGTCCCCACCTCCTGCTCGCCGTATGGTTAGTTCTCGTTTTCTTAATGAGAGCACAGCTATCAATTTTTCTGCTGCTTTTGATCCACCCTGTTCTTCTGATAACAACCCAGATTCCTTAACTTCTCAGTTTAACGAGCACTGCCTCTCCATTCTGGACAACATCTGTCCTGTCAGAACCAGATCAGTTCCTGCAGTGAACCCTACTCCCTGGTTTAATGACAGCCTTCGCAGCCTGAAGCGCCAATGCAGAAAATTTGAGCGTTTGTGGAAGAAAACCCATCTCCACGTCCATCTGCTGCACCTAAAGGATCTTCTGACATCCTTTAACTCTGCAGTCAGACGCTAGGGTTTCCTGCTGTTTAACACCATCAGCAGCATCGTCTCTCCTGCCTCTCCTACAGCCCCATCCACTCTGTTACAGACTGTGAGAACTTTCTGTCTTTCTTTGTGGACAAAGTCAATAAGGTTAGATCTAGCATCTCTCCTTCAGCCTTATCGCTGCCTCTCCCGACTCCAACCAGGCCCATCATCCTAGATAGCTTTGCTCCCGTTTCTTTGCCTGAGTTAACCAAACTAGTTAACTCTATGAAGACCTCTGCATGCCCCCTCCACATCTTACCCTCATCTTTGTTTAAAAGTGCTTTTCAGTCCATCGGTCCCAGCGTGCTCTCTATAATTAATGCTTCTCTGGTCTCTGGTCAGGTCCCTGCTTACTTTAAGAACGCTGTAATCCACCCGCTTCTTAAAAAACCGAGTCTCGACCCCTCTCTCCATAGCAGCTTCAGACCCATCTCTAAACTTCCGTTCATCTCCAAGATCTTGGAAAAGGTTGTGGCTAAACAACTCACAGCTGCTCTTGATGAACATAACATCTATGATAGCTTCCAGTCAGGTTTTCGTAGAGCTCATTCTACTGAAACAGCTCTTCTTAAGGTTGGTTTATGCTTGACGCGTCCGCGAGGTCCGCACGGCTCCGCGCGGAAAAGTTGTGTCATTTTGCGTCATTTTAACAACCACGCCCCTCCACCGCGTCTCCGCACGGCCCAAGATTTCCGCAACGCGCACCTCGGAAAATTTCTAACCACGCGGACGGTCGGACGCGGAAAAACATGGCGGACCGGCACGGCAGAGGTTGGTAAATACAGACGTTTGTATGATTCAGCTCTCAGAGATCACCGTGATCAACATGTTGTTAATAATTCTTGGAGAGAAATAGCTCGCACTGTCGGAAAAGACGAGGACGCTGTTAAAAATGCTGGAATACCATGTTGTAAACAGTCATTTCTACTTCTACTATGGTGTAGTGTTGGATGCATGCTGTAGAGCTCCATGCTGCCCCGTTCAGTTTGGGAGAATATTGGCTCACCGCAGAGACGAGCCGCACAAACCATAAACGCTGCGAGTTGTGAAGCGCGTTCCAGCCGCGAGCCGCATCACCGCGCGGAAAGTGAATGCGTCAAGCATAAACCAAGCTTTAGGGTCTCTAATGACCTTCTGACTCACAGTGATGCAGGGGACTGTTCTGGTCCTGCTGGACCTGACTGCAGCCTTTGACACTGTTGACCATCACCTGCTACTGGAGAGGCTGAGAGACTGGGTAGGCCTATCAGGATCTGCTCTGGAGTGGTTCTCTTCTTATCTCTCTGAGCGCTCCTTTTCTGTGGCCGTCTCCAAGTTTAGGTCCTCCACCACCTCTCTTACCCATGGTGTCCCACAAGGTTCTGTGCTGGGGCCTCTGCTTTTCCTCCTCTATCTGCTTCCTCTTCAGCACCTCCTGAGCTCCTTCAAAGGAATCTCCTACCATCTTTATGCAGATGACATCCAACTGTACATCTCCTTTAAGCCCCATGAGATGTCTAAGCTGCAGCTGTTACACACCTGCTTAGACTCTATCAACACCTGGATGGTGGGAGCTTTCTTCAGCTGAATGAAGATAAGACTGAGATCCTCATCTGTGCCCCAGACAAGCTGGTTCCCAAAGTCAGAGACTCTCTTGGTCAACTTGCTTCTCACACCAAATCTTCCGTCAGGAATCTTGGCGTGACCTTTGACCCAGCTCTCACCCTGGTTTCTCATGTCAGTTCTCTTGTTCGCTCTTCCTTCTTCCATCTCAGGAACATTGCTAAGCTGAGTCCCATTCTGTCCCGCTCTGAACTTGAGACAGTTCTCCACACCTTCATCTCCTCACGCTTAGACTACTGTAACTCTCTTTTCACGTGTCTGAGCAGAACCTCCCTGAACCGTCTACAGGTGGTTCAGAACGCCTGTGCTCGGCTTCTGACCAAGTCCTCCAAACACACCCACATCACCCCGCTTCTCCTCCAGCTTCACTGGCTGCCAGTCAACTTCAGGGTTCATTTCAAGATCCTGGTTCTGGTCTATAGGGCCTTACATGGACAAGCACCATCTTACATTGGTGATCTTCTTAGTCCCTACACCCCCAGCAGGTCCCTGAGGTCCAGTGATCAAAGCCTACTGGTTGTGCAGCACCAGGCTAAAGGTCAAAGGTGACAGATCATCTGCTGCTGTGGCCCCCAGACTCTGGACCTCTCTCCCCCTGAGCCTGAGATCAGTGGACTCAGTGGTCTCCTTTAAAAAGCAGCTGAAGACTCACTTGTTCAAGCTGGCTTTTGTATGACCTTCTTCACCTCTCTCTCTTTATTCTGCTCTCCCCACCTATTCCACCTTCCTCAGGAACCACTGATTTCCCTCTTTCCTGTTCACTCTCTCTCTCTCTCTTAACATTTTTTCTTTTAAATCCCAGTTGTCTATTTTTGCTCATTTTAAATATATTTTTAAACATTTTATAAATTATTTTTTATATTTTTACATTTTTTGTTTTTGTGAAGCGCCTCGCGATTTTTATCTTGAGAGGCGCCAAAGAAATGATATTTTCTTCTTCTGGATGCATTTTCTTGTCACCCAGCCTTCCTATATTGTGGCTTTTGGATGCTTTGATGTTACCAACAAAAGGCCGGCCTTCTGTGTTCGGAAAGCTCAACATGTGTTCCAGCAAAACACCTGTCTTCAATTTCCCAACATGAAAGACGTTTCTATCAAAGAAGCAGAAAAACAATAACTTTCAATATGACACAAGGATCCTCACCCTTTTTATTTTTTTGCCTCACACACAGCCACACACTCCTCCTCCTCCTCACTCTGTATTTTTTGTGTTATGTGGCTAATGTGGGTCAGTTTTACTGCTTCATCTGGCCTTTCCTTTGCTGTGGTCATCAACTCACAAACATCGCTGTTTACCCGACGAATTCTGAAAGCCCCAAGCCGTGTTTACACATCATTTTACTTTCCTGATTTGGGCTTGATTCACTTTCAGACTGTAATGTTTTCTTTTGTTCCAATTCAGTTGCCTTTGTGCCAACCTAATATCCAGTCCGACACAGAGGACTGTAGTAAACGGTGTAAAAAGCACAGAGCACAGCAAGTCCATCTTTCCTTTTTGCTTTAAAATGAAACTGAAATGGCTTCCAGGCATTTGCTCTCCACAGTAACCAACCTGTGTTCGGTTCTGTTGTAGTTACCTGATGTTTTATGGGGCATAAATTAGTGTTTACAGAAAAAATGAGGCTATATGCCTCTGTCTTTATGGGTTTCCACAAGAATTGGATTTCTTGGTTTTTCCACCAACTAAATGTTTTAGGAACATTGTTTTAGTGGCGTACCACATCCATTCAGTATTTGTAATTTCGTGTGAAATAACATCTGAAGTGGATTTTTGTTTTTAAATTAAAAAGATTGATTTTGCCCTTTTACTTGGGTCTTGATGGTGGTAAAGGTACAGGCTGATATAATAATGATAAATCTGGGACTCTCCACCATTTGACCTTAGAACTGAAGAAGCCTCTTTGTTGAGAGGTGAAACGTCTTCAAGCAACTTAAAGAAGTCCAGACGCTTTTCTTTCAAGCTCCTTAGACTACAGGCTGATACATGCTTCTTTCTAGAGTCACCTGTAGTGCTTTCTTCTGCAGTGTGTCAGATATTGTTCAGAATAAATGTGTGTACTCCAAAGAAGCGTACTTGAATCTGGCAACCATTTACTACCTCTGGATCCTGTTTTTGTGCGAGTGGTGAACTATTGTATAAATAACTGGATGAATTATCTTGTTCAGCATCAAAATCCAATATGGCGACTTCGCTCATGACAAGCAGTGATAGCTGCAGTATTGAACTGTTTAGGATAAGATAAGACTTTATTGACCCCACAGTGGGGAAATGTGTGTGTTACTACAGCTCAGGACAGATAACAAAGGAGTACAAAAGTGACCAAGAATGCAAAAATCAAAGATTAAATAAGACACAACACTATATACAACAGTGGTTCCTGTGTGGACACATACACAGTAAGCATTGTGGGTAAGGGGGTTGTGAAATGTCGTGGAGCTAATAATACATTTAAAGTATCAGCTGTTCTGCTAAAACTACTCTTTACTGTCCAAGTGATAGGTATGGTTAAATACAGGCACAAACACGCACAGGTGTACATATATCAGGTGTATTAAGCATGGAGTACTGACCATAGAGTTAAAGTGGCTGGATGACTCATGACATCATAATGTCTTCTAAATCCTAACTGCTGTTGGAATGAATGATCCATGGAAGCACTCCTTCCTGCAGCGGGGGTGTATTAGTTTCTGACTGAAGGAGCTGCTCAGGGCACGCACCGACTCCTGGAGAGGGTGGTGTTTGTTGTTCATGATGGACGTCAGCTTAGCTAACACCCCCCCCACCACCACCACCACCACCACAGACTCCAGAGGGCATCCCATTACAGAGCTAGACCTCTGCACCAGTTTGTCAATCCTGCCCATCCCTGTCCGTACATCTGCTCTCCTAATAGGCCATTGAATGGAAAAGGGCAGATGTTGCCACCGGATCTTAAAAAGTCCTTAACAGAGTCTTGCAAACTCCAAAGGACCTCAATCTCCTCAGTAGGTAGGGTCGACTTTGGCCCTTCTTATACAAGGCGTCTATATTTGTTGACCAGTCCAGTTTGTTGTTGAGGTGAACACCCAGGTACTTGTAGGAGTCCACTATCTCAATGTCTTCCTGGATGTTCTGTTCATTTGTATCCAGCTTCATGATTATTACTGTTAAAACACCTTTAGTTAACATGTTGCTTCAGTGTTTAAATACAGAGAAATACATTGACACACTTATTCTTGTGAGTACCCGACCTCACAAGTCTATGTACGTCAGGTCCTTCCTCGGCCACTAGGACCAGAAATGAGCAGCTGTGAGTTAGGACAGACGAGCCTTTGATGTTTGTTCCCGCCTCAACCTCAGTGTATGTCATGATGCCTAGCAACCGAGACGGCAATAAACAGAAGTTAAATTTACAGTTAGCGGTAGAGGTCACAGATATTGGTTTTTCTATGGCCAATGCCGATATGTAATGGCCATGATCAACAATGGCCCTAAATCTTAATTTTATCCACTGCTCAGTGTTAAAGCCAGAAATGTTACTTAAGTTATTAAAATCAGTAAACTGAGCAAATATTAAACATTCTGAGATCAAATATGCAAGAAAGCATAACAACACAGCTGCTTTAAGGTTTAAATGCAACAATTAGCAAGCCCTTCCAGCTGGAACACGATGAAGCTGTCATTCATTGATTTAGCTTCAAATGTAGGTAGAACACAGAATAATACTGGGTGGTGCATGATACTACTACCCAACACTACTACTGAGGTATAACTGAGCTTTAAAGCTTACCGTGCTTGTTTATTTTTTATGTCAGGGTGTGGAGAGCATCTGATTCGCACCATGCTGGCTCGGGAATGCGCCGCTGCCATGCAGTCTGAAGATGCCCACCAAGCGCTGCTGGAGGCTATGCAAAACAAATTCATCAGTAAGTCATCTGCTTGCAGATCTACCATTGCTGCTTCCCACACTTTGTTTATTCAACCCAAGAGCGTGTTTGTGTCACAGACACTGAGTAAATGAAGAAGGCAGATGTGCAACATAAAGGATGAGTGAAGCAGAAGAAACGTAGAAAAATAGAATCAGAAGAGACAACTTTTGATTTATGGCTCTTTTTACTGTTTAAATGGCTCTTTGAATGTTGCACACGTCACAGCTGACAACCACAGATAAATTTGGAAAGACGTAATTGTTTGGTCGCATGTTTATTTGAAGATGTAATTTTGTTGCATTCACAGAAGTGGTCAGTTTTAGAAATCCTTGTTAAGTGTGTTTGTTGTGAAGTCGGTGACCACTTGGATAGCTCAGAGAAGACAAAGAAAGGACATGTGGATACGTGTGGTGGTTTCAGCCTTGTTCTGGTCCCTAGAAAGGCCTTCCCGCTTTGGCTGTGTGATGAATATTTACAACACAAAGTAGTCAGTCTGAAGTTATTTCTTTTTTTGGTTCATTTTAAACACACATCAGGTTCAACTATAAATCTAGCCTCAGCAGAAGCAGCGATGACATTTTCTGTGACTTAATGTAAACAGAGAGACAGGTCTACAGTGTTCAAGATCGAAAACTACTTTGAAGTCATTCCAGACATGTTGAAAATAAAAAAGTGGATATGTCTTGTCCAGAGTATGTGTAAAACCATAATAAAGATAGATCAAACAATGTAAACCCAATATCTGAATAAAGAATACTAAATTAAAGTTCATAGAAGAAACAATCGACCATTATGAACAAAAACACTTAATTTAAGGGAGATATCATTTATTCACAACTTCCTGCTAAAATTTGAAAATTATGAAAATATTATTCATATATTAAAGGGACTTTACGGAGTTTTGAATTTTTATGCTCGCGATCGCCCCCTCAGGCCAAAAGCGTAACGGCAGCTGCAATAGTAGGCTCGTGTACGAGGCGCGCATGCTGTACGTGCACATTCCTTGACGAAAATAACAGCTGAGGCAGTCCCTTGTGTGTGTGTGTTTGTGTGTGTGTGTGTGTGTGTGTGTGTGTGTGTGTGTGTGTGTGTGTGCGTGCGTGTGTGTGTGTGTGTGTGTGTGTGTGTGTGTGTGTGTGTGTGGGTGGGTGGGTGGGTGGGTGGGTCGGAGGACAGAGGACAGGAGAACACGTAGCTAATTAATTAAATAATGTGGTTCTGTACCTTTCTCTTCAGCACAGCGACAAAGGTTTATGATGGGTCAGTCCTCCTGCACGCTCAGATCATTCCCTTCCCTTGCTGGAAAAATTGTTCCAAAATGAAAGTTGAACCCACATCTTTTTATCTGTGAATTCAACGCCGTTCGGCGAGTCTCAAATAAAAATTTGGGCATCTTACTATAAAAAATATATCATTAATGTAAAAAAGAAACTCTAAATCAACTATGTTCACATCCAGAATCGAACCCTGGTCTTCTGCTTGGGAGTCCGACGTCTTACTAGGCGAGCTAAAGCATCAGTAACATTTGCTGTAACTGTAACATTTATATCCTTGATGACAGCTGAAACAACGTTCAAAGAACGGTTCGGAGTGAAAACGGCTATTTTGTTGCTAATTTGCAGGAAATATCTAGAAGAAAGTTCTACAGAAAGTAGCTAAGGGTCCTCAGAAATGTAGCTAGCTTGGTCACTAGGCGTTAGGAACAGCGACAAAGTGGCACTGCCTCTCTCTCTGCTGCTAAAGCTACTGATAGCAAATGCTACGGGCGATGCCTGAGCGTGAACGCGCATGAAGCAGCCTGCTCGACCCGAGCATCTCTCTTTTTCTGTGATTTTACAGAAAAACAGGCAATCACAGTAAAAATGCCAGGGCTCATTCTACAGGACCAGGGCGTTGCAGGAGAATGTATGAAGAAGGCATTTATTATTTCTATACATGTTTTGGCTGTCACACTTCCTTATAGTCCCTTTAAAGATGTTACTGATAGCTTAGTAGTTCTATTGCCATTACAGTGAAGCCCATTTCTGTTCCTGGTTGAGTGGCTTTATTGATTATGCAACGCCATGAATAAATGTCTGAGTTATTGTGAACAAATTGGCATAATAAATATTTCATTATAAAATGTACATCATGCGCTTTCCATGCTGCAAAAACAAAGAAAGCATGTTTCTCGAAATAAAGAAAAAAAAAACATCAGTTTGAAATGCTCAGAAGGGACAGTGGTATGCAGACACAATATTTTCGATCGATCGACCGACTTTATTTATATAGTGGGAGCAATTGTCAGAAAATGGAAGACATACAAGACCACTGATAATCTCCCTCCATCTGGGGCTCCACGCAAGATCTCATCCTGTGGGGTCAAAATGATCATGAGAACGGTGAGCAAGAATCCCAGAACCACATGGGGGGGCCTGGTGAATGACCTGCAGAGAACTGGGACCACAGTAACAAAGGTCACCATCAGTAACACACTACAACGGCAGGGAATCAAATCCTGCAGTGCCAGACGTGTTCCGCTGCTGAAGCCAGTGCATGTCCAGGCCCGTCTGAAGTTTGCCAGAGAGCACATGGATGATACAGCAGAGGATTGGGAGAATGTCATGTGGTCAGATGAAACCAAAGTAGAACTTTTTGGTATAAACTCAACTCGTCGTGTTTGGAGGAATAAGAATACTGAGTTGCATCCCAAGAACACCATACCTACTGTGAAGCATGGGGGTGGGAACATCATGCTTTGGGGCTGTTTTTCTGCTAAGGGGACAGGACGTCTGATCCGTGTTAAGGACAGAATGAATGGGGCCATGTATCGTGAGATTCTGAGCCAAAACCTCCTTCCATCAGTGAGAGCTTTGAAGATGAAACGTGGCTGGGTCTTCCAACACGACAATGATCCCAAACACACCGCCCGGGCAACAAAGGAGTGGCTCCGTAAGGAGCATTTGAAAGTCCTGGAGTGGCCTAGCCAGTCTCCAGACCTCAACCCCATAGAAAATCTGTGGAGGGAGTTGAAAGTCCGTGTTGCTCGGCGACAGCCCCAAAACATCACTGCTCTCGAGAAGATCTGCATGGAGGAATGGGCCAAAATACCAGCTACTGTGTGTGCAAACCTGGTCAAGACCTATAGTAATCGTTTGACCTCTGTTATTGCCAACAAAGGTTATGTTACAAAGTATTGAGTTGAATTTTTGTTATTGACCAAATACTTAATTTCCACCCTGATTTACAAATAAATTCTTTAAAAATCCTGCCATGTGAATTCATGGATTTTTTTTTCACATTCTGTCTCTCACAGTTGAAGTGTACCTATGATGTAAATTACTGGCCTCTGTCATCATTTTAAGTGGGAGAACTTGCACAATCGGTGGCTGACTAAATACTTTTTTGCCCCACTGTATATAAACGGTACACTGCTTTTCATAAGGATTAACACGAATGTTGGTTCTGTCTGTTAACAGATTACCACACCTACATACTCCTACACACTCACAATCCTTTACCTGCATTGGTATACAGGAATGCAATTGCCTCACCGCTAACGTTGTACAACCTGTTATCATCTGCCGCCTCCTTAATAAAGTTACTTGGACTACATTGCTGTGGAGTGCCAATCCTTCTGACCGAGGACGACTCAGTTGAAGCGTGATCGGCAATCAGTGCAAAGAATCAAACAAGTGGTCCTTCGAGCCAGATACGCATTGGCTGAGTTCATGAGATGGAAGATGGAGGTGTATCGAGTAGCCCCCGTCCAAAACGGGAGAGGAAACTCCCGGGATATCTGGTGGACTACGAGCACAATCTTAATGAGCCACACAACCCATCTAGAGCTTCACGTAGTTCCAGCAGCTCTGACAATGAGGAGGAAGGGAGATGGCAGAGGATGGAATCAGTATGGAACAATGTTCTCCAAACCATGAATCACCTTCAAGCGTCTATGGAGAACACTCATGGAACATTACTGAAGCGGGTGGAGCGTTTGGAGCAAGTTTCACAACCTAGCAGTGAGGTGATACATCGCACCATAGAGCCACTACCTGTGCCAGAGCAGGACACCATAACACCTGCGACCATGCTGAGGCCAGTTAAGGCATCTGCTCCATCACCTCCTCGTAAAGTGAGTTTTCACACTCAGCCGGTGCAGCACCCTGCCACTTATGTAGCTGCATCAACGCCACTCAGGAGACTTGGCCGATGCACCGCTACGCCCTTCGTGTATCAGCGATCGGAACATCATCTCCTTATAAACCGGCCAGGCCAGGTGCAGATGTTACACCACGCAGCCTCAGCTAATCAGCTAAGACAACGTGCTTATCGTGCAGTACACCAGCTATCGCAGGCTGGGGACCCAGCGAATCTGCAGCAGACGCTACATCCAGCTAATCCTGTGTACCTGCAGCAACCACCACGTCCTGCTGATCCGATCTACCAACTGCCACGTCCACCAGAACCGGTGATCCAGCCATCACAGTGGGCAGATGCTCAGCACCCTGTATCCAACATATTGCATCCTGAAGCTTTGCCTGATCCAGCTGGCAACCACCGTGTTCCTGATCCGTCAGGAAGTGACGATTCATCATCTTCCTTTGCCGAACGACGTAATCCACAGGTTGCCACATCTGAATCAGCCAGAGCGCCTCTACCAAACCTGATGGAGATTATGGTGGCGTCCTGATATGGTATTCCAAAGCCTAGGCTGGTGGTATTCAAGTCGTGCAGAGAGAGTGACTTTGCCTTATTAAAGAAAGGGCTGGACAGCACCCTAGGGCCACATTCTCATCTGGGGAAGATTACAAGTTTCAAGTCCTATTAGATCTTCTAGAGTATCCCAGCGCCCTACAGGTAGCCAAGCGCTACATTCACGACCGCACTCCTTATACTAGTGCAATGAGGGCGCTAGAGCAGAGGTATGGACAGCCAAGGCAGTTAGTCCAAAGTGAGCTTAGCACAATATGGAACAGCCCCCCAATTCGACCAGGAGACTCTAAAGCTATTGAGGACCTGTCCCTGTCCGTGTCCAGCCTGGACAGGCTTCTCAGTACCATGGATGAAGTAGCAGCCAGTGAGCTTCATTGTGGTTCACATGTGGACAGACTGCTCACCAAACTCCCCCTGAATTACAGAGACAGTTTCATTGAGTACTGTATTACCTGGGGGATCATCCGCACTGGCAGCAGCCAAACATACAATATGTACGACTTCTCAGAATGGCTCGAACGGAAATCCCAAGTCCTTCAGCTATCCAGACATGCCTCTCACATACCCTATGACAGGCTACGTCCAGAGAAGAACCCACTTAAAGCCTCAGCATGGTCCAAGTCACAAAGCAAATCTGCCTCCGTCTATTACGGCCCAAACCCAGCCCAAGCCAAGCTAAGACCAGAGGGAGAATCTACAGCTCCCGATCTGACAGCCCAACCTAAGAAGAGACAGAAGTTCAAACCTTACTGTCCATACTGTGAAGGGACAGAGCATTAACTGAATGGCTGTGATGGATTCAAAGGGCTAGGCCTCAAAGCCATGGCTACCTGGATTACCGAGAAGACCAAATACTGGCGCTGTGGCCGTCAACATTCACCAGAGCAAATCCCGTTTTGCAAACGCTATGGTCCTGTAAAAACTGCTTAAGAAATCATGGTGGGGTCTGAAATTCACATTGTAGGTGCATTCCCACAGCATTTAAAATATGTTCAGGAAATCACATTGTCTGATTTTTAAAGAATTCATTAAGGGATCTGCTGCTCTACCTGCGGCTCCCTTATTGTTCTTCACCGGAGGATTTGTTCTCTTTATTATTATTCTTCCACAGACATTAATGCGGCTCAAACATCAGCGTACACCCCCACAAATTTACATCAAAAGAAGCATATCGGCCCTTGGAGGTATGCTATTACTTTCTTTAGCATTTTGGTTTACCATGGCGAAAATTATTGCAAAAAACTTAGAAATTAATTTTCATTTTGAATGTGTGCCACTCTAAATTTGTTTAAATAATGAATTAATAATGCACATAATTCATAACTTTTCTTTTTGTGTGTGTTCAAAATGCATCGTGCACCCCCACCCATGCTGTGGAAAATGTGGTGTATCACCCAAATATCATGATTTTGGGTTTTTCACCCTAACATCATCTCAGTATCATGATTTTGAGCCTTTATAACACACGGCCCCTATCTTGTGCAACGGGCAGGTTCCATTTTAAAATTTGAATTACACTGCCACACTTAAAGGGTGTTTCTCAATGTGACGGCGCCTGGCCTTGTGAGGCGATGTCTTGCGAGGCCAGGCGCCTTGCTTACAAGGACACTGTCCTTCCTTGGTCAAAGAAAACGGTTAAATGGAACAGACTTGCATCATGTGACCGCAGCTTCCACGGTGGTCACGTAACATCACTTGACACGGGAGATAATGTTATATTTTATACAAATCAGTTCCAATATAGATATACAACGAGCCGTTTACTTTTGAAATTGTGTATATGTTTGTTAAATTAAATATATAAGCAAGTTACTACCCGCTAGCCACCGAAGCTGCAACTACTAAGCAGCTAACCAACCATGGATAACTTCTTTGGATCTAAAAACTCTTTAAATTAGTTGACTTACTTTAAAACTTGAAATTTGCCCTCAAAGTAGCTGCCGGCTTCTGATCTGCCATCCTTTCGAAAATACCGCGGTGTATTCTGGGTAATTTTTTACCAAGGCTAGGCTACAAGACGCCTCCCGTGTATCCTTGCTCAGCTAGCTAAACGGCTAACAAACAGAGAACACACGCCTCGGTAGAACATGAACACTGGAACACGTCTTGGCGGTTCCTGATGACGTATCTCCTAGGCAACCGGGGCGGGGCCAAGACATCAAGGCAAGGTTCCTTGGCATTGAGAAACACCCAAAGTCTCTTTCCAGAGTATTTCTCTTATCTGATGGCACCATCTAGTGGCTGACAAGCATATCACACGAATAATCTCTCGATCCGTTTATTTTTTTAAGATGGTGACTTCACGTTTCTTCTTTATAAATGTGCTTCTGCAGTCGACATACGGAGCAAAAACACGTTGTTTTACAATTATTCTCATGTCATGTTGTGTTTTCGTATATTTATATTTTAGAGACTTATTGTCCATGAAAAGTTCATCAAGTCTTCATCAGCCGAGGCATTCCTTAAATTTGAAGCACGTAAGCGGTAGTCTAACGCTATTGGTTAGTTCTGGTCGGCGCTCAGTTCCCTGTTGCACGGAGCGCTGCGGGGCAGGGGGCATGCTTACCAAAAAGTTTTTTTTAAAAGACATATTTTTTTCCATTATATCACATTCCATGATAACACTATCACTTTTAGGGATTTCTGAAAAATCATACATCATTTCTGAAAGGGGAAAACTCCGGAAAGCTACTTTACGCATTTGAACACATGGGAATCAGCAAGCATTCTGCCTCTCAAAGACCTGTTACTAAAAAGTCCACCTCTACTCCACATATTAATCTAAATCAGTAGTAGTAAATCATATCTATATTATTAAATCAATCAAATCAAAGCTTTATTTATAAAGCGCCTTGTCAGCGAGCCCAAGGCGCTGAACACAGTACATAAGAAATGTAAATCACAGTAAATAAGTAGATAATAAAATAGTGCAAAGAATTGGTTGTATTGGTCAGAACAGCAGTATTACCTGATATTATCAGATATTGATATCAACACAAAGGTTCCTATCGTTGGATCCCTTGCTTTGTAAATACATTTCGATGAATACTGTTTTATTCCAGTCCTGCTTTCTAGAAAAGGTTGTTTCTGTGTGTCCAGGCTCGCCCTTTCTCACCAGTGAGGATCGTGTTTTGGGTGGAGTCATTGTCTTGAGGTGCTGCAGATGTGTGGAAGCACAGCCATCTCCAAATATTCAGGGTATCTTGGGTAAGATGTTCACGACTTCAGCTCAGATCACTCTTGGGGCAGCAGTAGCTCAACAGGTTGAGCGGGTTGTCCAGTAATCGGAAGGTTGCAGGTTCGATCCCGGCTCTGGACAGAGAATTCTGCTGTTGTGTCCTTGGGCAAGACACTTAACCCACCTTGCCTGCTGGTGGTGGTCGGAGGGACCGGTGGCGCCTGTGCTCGGCAGCCTCGCCAGTGCGCCCCAGGGCAGCTGTGGCTACATCGTAGCTCATCACCATCAGTGTTTGAATGTGTGTGTGAATGGATGAATGATACACTGTAGTGTAAAGCGCTTTGGAGTCCTGACTCTGAGAGGCGCTATCATTTATCATTTGCTCCGAACATAAACGGAAAGGATTTATCCAGGAATATGTAAAGATTTCTGTCAACGGGAGGAGAAATGAGAAGAATGGGAGGGCGCTGTGGCTTTTCTGGTGTTTTAACTCACCCAGTCAGGCTCTCGTTTCACACCCTTCATCTCAAATTCAAACACAGACCTCCCACTATGAATCATTCACTGAATCTCAGACAAGTGGCTCTTTTTGAATGCTGCTCTGTGACTGGTTGTATTGATGGATCTGGTTTCCCTACCTGCAGCTTAAACAAACACTCTTCTTCAGGCAAACTGGCTGAATAGAATTCAGTTCTGTCTAAAATTCACCCGTTCAAAAAGAAAAGCTTGTATTTAATGAAAAAAATTGAATGATTAATGTTGGAGCAGTTTTAATACTATATAAAGTATTTAGACTATTCCAGTGAACAATAATCAGGTTAAAGATTATTGCCATCATCCAGAGCCACTATGTCACACCAGATTATTCCTTTCTAATACAAACAACATGCAAACTACAGCATTTATTAAGGTCTGCACATCCCAACTTTATTATTTTTTACCCCTGCCAGTTAATGGACATCCTAACAGTCCACAACATCGCCAAATAATCTTGTGTGGTACAGTATAATACATATATATATATATATATATATATATACATATATATATACATATATATATATATGTATATATATATGTATATATATACATATATATATATATATTTAATAAAATTCGGCCTTTAGCCAATCCAGCAGTTTGTTGAGTGGCCAAACCTTTCCTGCATAATATTAAATGTATGTTTCGTTATGATTTAATCTTTTTATCTGTTCATTCACAGTGGAGTTTCTATGGAGTCACACAACAGAGAGCATGTGTGTTGGCTACATGTCTGCACAAGACAGCAAAGCAAAGGTGAGTTCCAAGTTTACCTGGATCCACAGTCCTAACGTCTTAGTGACCCCCAGACACCACCGGATGGTTTTTGTCTGTATGCTGACAGGTGGCAGTGGAAAAGCTGCAATACCAAATCTGGAAAACAAGCTAGCTTTTAGAATCAGACGGGTTTTATTTCCATATGTACGAGAATTACAATGTTAGGAAACTGCTGCGGTACTTAGTGCAAGAAAAAATAATGATAAGCAAAAATTGGAATCAAGAAATAAACACAATGAAATGATAATATAGGGAGACAATAATTAGAGAAGCTGCTACTTTATACAAGTCAGTGTAGGTACTGGTCAGAGCGGGTCAGTTCAAGTGCAAACACAACACTAGGGTCATGTGACTAGAACAAAGCAGCTGGACTGGACAGTTCTATGATTGACATTCATGAGTCTGACCGCAGAGGGGAAAACTGTTTTTGTGACGAGAGGTTCTGGTCCGAATGATTCCTGCCAGATGGGAGCGAGTCGAAGAGACTGTGTCCAGGGTGAGACGTGTCAGCCGTTATCCGACCTGCACGCCTCACGGTCCTGGAGGAGGACTGGTTCTGTATGGAGGGGAGTTGGCAGCCAGTGACCTTCTCCGCAGACACGCTGCAGTCTTGTCATGTCCCTGGTGGTGGCTCCAGCATACCACACAGTGATTGAAGAGGTGAGGATGACTCGATGATTGCGGTGTAGAACTGCCTCATCAACTGTACAGATATGTTGAATTTCTTCAGCTGCCCCAGGAAGTACATCCTCTGCTGGGACTTTTTTATGACAGAGGTGATGTGGTGACGGTGGCACAGGAGTTAAGCGCTCGCCCTGTAATCGGAAGGTTGCAGGTTTGAGCCCTGCTCAGTCTGTCGCTGTCGTTGTGTCCTTGGGCAAGACACTTAACCCCCTTGTCTGCTGGTGGTGGTCGGAGGGACCGGTGGCGCCAGTGCTCGTCAGCCTCGCCTCTGTCAGTGTGCCCCAGGGCAGCTGTGGCTACATCGTAGCTCATCCTCACCAGTGTGAATGTGTGTGTGAATGGGTGAATGACTGGTTGTGTTGTAAAGCACCTTGGGGGGTTCCAGGACTTTAGAAGGTGCTACATCAAAGACAGACCATTTACCATTTACCACTTGATGCGGGTTATGATAAGCCGTCTTTAACCATAGCTTGTGTAGCAGATTTGCCATTGTAGCTTTAAGTGGTTTATCTTCATCTTATGGCGGAACTTCACTTGGTAAATTTGCGGTATAAAAAATCAAAAAGAGGTTTCTTCCAAACACTTCACAGTCTGTTCTCCAATCAGCTTTGTAAATCTTTATTGATTTAAAGGATGTTTTTTATTTCTTTATGTGACATTAACTTCTCAGTGAGTCTTCTCGAGCTTTAAGGCGTAACGATTTAGTAATTCCATCACTTCCTAGGAACAGAAGGCACTGCTGTTTGAGGCAGGTTCAGATTTCAAAGTGCACCCCCACCCCCAGCCCTCCTTTTTTCTTACTTATGGACTGAATCCCTCATCAGCCCTTCGCTCTTCGACAACTTCCTGGTCCTAAAGCTGACCGAAAGGTATAAGTAACTCGCCCAAAATCCATGTCTGTATTTTTGTTGTGGATTTGGGTTTGACTTTAGTCATCATTGATGAATCTGACACACCTGGGCTAAGAGATAAGAACTGAGCTAAGTATTGTAATGCCTAAACTTTATAGAAGTCACCCAGTAAAAGCTAATAAAGATTTGTTGTAGAATACAATTTGTCAGCAGTTATCTCTGAGTCTCGTCAAAGTGGGGTGGGGGGCCTTTGCTTTCTCTTGATGCTAGTGGTATTGGAGAGTTCAGCCAGAACCACAGCTGCTCTGCCAAACTTCACACCGTGATGTCAGAGTGTTTAGCTAGTCGTGGGATTTGAGCGGTGGAGCTCTGATGTGCGTCTGTGCTCGACCAGCTGCACTCCAGAGCAGCTGGCTGCTCTGTTTACTCCTTCCTGGTTGCAAGGGCAGGTTTCCCTCCACCGCTGGGCTCAGGGCCGGTCACTGCTCGCTGCCCATGTACGCTCATTACAGAGGGGGTACCACGGTACACGGCATCTGTTTTATCTCCAGTTCGATTATGTTCTTTGTTACCATCTTGTACTGCAACACTAGAATCACACAACAAAGTCCCACATTATTGTTATAGATCAGCTAAAACGGTGAAATAGGTGATTTTATGTGCAGATTGCTAAACGTAGTTCTCTCCCTTGGCTGCTCTTCGGCCGACATTCCTCCCATTCATATTATCTGGCCATTTCTACATGCCCAGAGTTCATCTTCTGCTGCTTTTCTGTGATTAGAGCATGAAAGGGCTCATAAACAGGGGAAGCACTCTTTAGTCCAGGACACAGACTGGATTTCTCTTGCATAAACTTGCCTTTTCTTTAGAATAATTCTAAAATTGAATTTTATGTTTATGCTCGTTATAAACCAGAGCACAGCGACCCACAACCCAGGTTATGTACCGTGGGCATGGAAAGTATTCAGACCACGTCTCTCTTTTACTCTTTGGTATATTTCAGCCGTTTGCTAAAATCAATTAAATTCATTTTTTCCCTCATTAATGTACACACAGCACCCTATTTTTGTTTTTGTTTATGTATTTAGCCGACGCTTTTGTCCAAAGCGACTTACAAGTGATAATGAAGAAGAAGAAAATATCATTTCTACAGCGCCTCTCAAGATAAAAATCACGAGGCGCTTCACAAAAACAAAAAATATAAAAATATAAAAAATAATTTATAAAATGTTTAAAAATATATTTAAAATGAGCAAAAATAGACAACTGGGATTTAAAAGAAAAAATGTTAAGAGAGAGAGAGAGAGATCGAACAGGAAAGAGGGAAACCAGTGGATCCTGAGGAAGGTGGAATAGGTGGGGAGAGCAGAATAAAGAGAGAGAGGTGAAGAAGGTCATACAAAAGCCAGCTTGAACAAGTGAGTCTTCAGCTGCTTTTTAAAGGAGACCACTGAGTCCACTGATCTCAGGCTCAGGGGGAGAGAGGTCCAGAGTCTGGGGGCCACAGCAGCAGATGATCTGTCACCTTTGACCTTTAGCCTGGTGCTGCACAACCAGTAGGCTTTGATCACTGGACCTCAGGGACCTGCTGGGGGTGTAGGGACTAAGAAGATCACCAATGTAAGATGGTGCTTGTCCATGTAAGGCCCTATAGACCAGAACCAGGATCTTGAAATGAACCCTGAAGTTGACTGGCAGCCAGTGAAGCTGGAGGAGAAGCAGGGTGATGTGGGTGTGTTTGGAGGACTTGGTCAGAAGCCGAGCACAGGCGTTCTGAACCACCTGTAGACGGTTCAGGGAGGTTCTGCTCAGACACGTGAAAAGAGAGTTACAGTAGTCTAAGCGTGAGGAGATGAAGGTGTGGAGAACTGTCTCAAGTTCAGAGCGGGACAGAATGGGACTCAGCTTAGCAACGTTCCTGAGATGGAAGAAGGAAGAGCCAACAAGAGAACTGACATGAGAAACCAGGGTGAGAGCTGGGTCAAAGGTCACGCCAAGATTCCTGACAGAAGGTTTGGTGTGAGAAGCAAGCTGACCAAGAGAGTCTCTGAGTCTAATGAAGCCAGCTGGTTGCCCTTGAGCCTAACAACAAACCCTAATCTGTCAATCTTTTGACAGAAAAACACAGAATAAAAAAAATTGAGTTATTAAAAAAGAAAAACTGAAATATCACATCGTCCTAAGCATTCAAAACATTAGTTTAGTATTTAGTAGAAGCACCTTTTGAGCTAATACAGCCACGAGTCTTCTTGGTAAAGATGCAACAAGTTTCTTACACCTGGACTTCTCCAGTTGTGTCAGGTTGGATAGTGAACGTTGGTGGACGGCCATTTTTAGGTCTCTCCAGACATGCTCAGTTGGGTTTAAGTCAGGGCTCTGGCTGGGCCTTTCAGGAACAGTCACAGAGTCGCTGTGAAGTCACTCCTTCATTATTTTAGCTGTGTGCTTCGAGTCATTGTCATGTTGGAAGGTAAACCTTTGGCCCAGTCTGAGGTCCTGAGTACTCTGGAGAAGGTTCTTGTCCAGGATATCCCTGTACCACTCTGCCATAAAGCCCTGACTGGAGGAGGGCTAAAGTGATGGTTGTCTTTCTACAACTTTCTCCCGCCTCCTGACTGCATCTCTGGAGCTGAGCCACAGTGACCTTTGGGTTCTTCGTTTCCTCTCTCACCAGGGCTCTTCTCCCCTAGTAGCTCAGTTTGGCTGGACGGCCTGCTCTAGGAAGGGTTCTGCTCATCCCAAACGTCTTCTTTTAAAGGATTATGGAGGCCACTGTGCTCTTAGGACCCTTAAGTGTGAACTTGGCCAGATCTGTGCCTTGCTACAGTTCTGTCTCTGAGTTCTTCAGGCAGTTCCTTTGACCTCATGATTCTCATTTGCTCTGACATGCATTGTGAGCTGTAAGGTCTTTTGTAGACAGGTGTGTGTCTTTCCTCATCAGGTCCAATCAGTATAATCACACACAGCTTGACTCTAACGAAGGTGTAAGACCATCTCAAGGATGATCAGAAGAATTGAAACGCACCCGAGTTAAATATGGGTGTCACAGCAAAGGGTCTGAATACTTAGGACCATGTGATGTTTCAGTTAGACTTTTGAAATAACTGCAGACATTTGTAGAATTCAGTGTTTTGCTGTCGACATGAGGGGCTGTGTGTGCATTAATGAGGAAAAAATTGATGTCATTGATTTTAGTAAAATGTCTGTAATATGACGACGAGTGAAACATTGACGGGGGTGTGAATACTTTCTGTACTCGCTGTAGATTTAGGGCAGACTGTTTCAGTGCACAGCAGCACAAAGCTTAAGCAACCGTTGTTTTGGGTTATTTCACATTCACTCTATTTTCTGTATTCACATTACTAAAGTTAAAGGAAATTATGGCAGACCTTCACTCATTTAGCAAAGAATATAAATAGCACGGAGTTTCTATTTTTTCTGTTATCTTTTAGAAGAAAAATGTGAAAACCACAACAACAACGACGCCACAGCCCCGTCACTGAGCTACAGGTAATCCTGTTCTCTGTCTGTGGTGTTGATGTGTGGCTTCTGCAACTCCTAAGCACACTCGGGTCACCCAAGAATGTTGTTTTTCCTCTACAGATTTTTCCATGTTATATTTTGACTAGTCGCACTGCTGCTCTGTGGTTCCTTGAGTCAGACTGATATTGTCAACAATCCCATTGAAGGTTTGCACGTCTTCATCTCATTTCACTATCAACCTAATATTTCCATTTGGCTCAATAGTTTAATTAGCACCTTAGTTGAAGATGTGCTTCTTAGTAGCCAGTCAAGAAATAAGTAAAAGAATATACATCCATCCATCCATCCATCCATCCATCCATCCATCCATCCATCCATCCATCCATCCATTGATTCATTCATTCATTCATTCATTCATGGCCCAGCTTCTCTGGGGGAACTCTTAAGGCGTTCCCGAGCCAGGCGAGAGACATAGTCCCTCCAGCGTGTCGTAGGTCTTCCTTTAGGTCTCCTCCCGGTTGGACGTGCACAGAAAACCTCACCAGGGAGGCGTCCTGACCAGATGCCCCAGCCACCTCAACTGGCTCCTCTCGATGTGGAGGAGCAGCGGGTCTACTCTGAGCCCCTCTGGGATGACCGAGCTTCTCACCCTATCTCTAAGGGAGAGCCCAGCCACCCTTCGGAGAATACAAATTTCAGCCACTTATTTCCGCAATCTCGTTCTTTTGGTCACTACTCAAAGCTCGTGACATAGGTGAGGGTAGGAACGTAGATCGACCGGTAAATCGAGAGCTTTTCCCTCCAACTCAGCTCTCTCTTTAACACAGCAGACCGGTAAAACGCCATCACTGCAGACGTAGCGCCAATCTGCCTATCGATCTCTTGCTACATCTGTCCCTCACTCATAGACAAGACCCATAGATACTAAAACTTCTCTTGGGGCAGGACCTTGTCTCTGACTTGGAGAAGGCGGTCTACTCTTTTCTTACTCAAGACCATGGTCTCAGATTTGGAAAAGCTGATTTTCATCCAAAATAACATTCCAGCGAGAGCTGGAGAGCATGGTCTGATGAAGCCAAGAGGACCACATCATCTGCGAAAAGCAGAGGCTCAATTCTTAGGCCACCAAAACGGATATATTTCTCATTCAGTAATTGATTACTGTGAGTCCCATCATCACCCACTGAGAAAAGCTGCCATCAATGTGACTTCCCACTCGCTGGGGCTCGCTCACCACAAACTCTTTAAATCAATGCTTTTGAACTCCTCTGTGACGCTAGAACACGACACAGAAAAGGCTTTCCAGGCTTTTCACAATCAGTACTCCGGAGCTCACTAATAAAGACAACATCAAAGCAATTTTAATGTAAAGTTGCTGTAAATTTGACTTTAAAACTATCATTGCCGATAATGAATTTGAAGTTGGACACCTTGCTTGTCTCTGTTTTAAAGAGATATAACAATGTTTTGAGGTTTTCTCTGCCAGCTGTGTAAAAAGGTCTTGAAAATCATGTCTCCTCCACCAGATGACTCCTTCAGAAAATCCCCATCTATAAGTTCATTTGTGTTTTATATCTGCTGTCTGAAAAGTCTGAAGAACGTAAGAACCCGTGCAGGTAGTCGTTTACGGCGCCCTGTGGAGATTTTCAGCTGAGCATTAAGTGTTTTTCTCTGGTGTGTGAACATCAAAAGCAAAACATTTCACATGTCACCATAAGTTGATTATGACTCAGTCATGGACCTCCACTCAAACTACTTTACACGACCTTTCTGTAACCTCATCCTCAGAAGATGAAGGGAAGAAGATGAACCCAGAGATGTGTACTGGAGGCATAATGGCCCTCCAGAGTATTGCCATGTGTGCTTGGCCTTGTCTGGCTGTTGTCCCATTGTAGTGACAGTTGCCCTCAGGGTGCTTTGGGGGGGGGGGGGGGGGGGGGGGGGGGGTGATAGTCTGCACCAGTCAACTGCTGCATCTGGATGAGTGATGTCAGGCCAATTCAGTGGCCTAAGTAATGAGTCAATGCACTGTTCCCCCATGATGGAGTCAGTGTTAGCCTCTGTGTGGAGTTAAGAGGAGGACGTTGACGGCCATTAATGGCACTGGGCGAGTCTGTAACCTTTGATCCCCCGATGGAAGTATCACTTCTGCCTTCACGGCTATGTTTGCTTTGCCCCTTCACCCCCGAGTTCTCACAACTTTTCATCTTTGCTCAGACAAAAGAAAGCTAGCAGTTTGGTTCTTTTCACTATGCACTCAGACCTACAAATACAAACTTTCAGTGAGTCTCAAAAACTTTAAAAAAAAATCCCATTTCCTTCACTGCTGCCAAGCAACTGGATCAGTGCTTTAATATATTGAACTTAAACCAGTAAATCCGTAAATGACTTCAAAGTAGATGTAACAATAAATATGTAAATACACACAAACATGCATATGCCCACAAACATTCCTAATTGGGTAAAGTATATTTATTATATCATCTAAACTCTTGCTGAATCTGCACTAACACTGGTGAACCATTTCCAGGAACTAATAGTGAGCCACATCACAGCTGAGCTGCAGATGGCAGGTTTTGGAGTCTTATTTCCTGACATACCTATCTGGACATCTTGCCTTGGATTCAATAATAGCAACACGACTCCACCGCTGACTTGCAACGTTCTATCTCCACAAATAACGCAAGCTAGGGCGAGTTCTGCCATGTAGTGAAGTTGTTAATGCTAACAGTCAGCTTCTACTAGCCGACATGTTATCTGCTGTTTCCTGGACGCTAAGCCAACACCCTTCCCCTTTGCAAGTCAAGATGGGTGAGTGCATGAATGTTAAGTGACAGTGTGACATAATGTGTCCAGCTTTGCAAATCCTAGCGTTTCACCGTCTGTTTACTATCTTAAGCTAATGCGGGACATGGGTGTAGGCCACAATTCAGTGTGATTTATGGTGCTGTGGAGGGATTTCCAGGACTTTTTTCGGCTTTGGGAGTTTTAAGAACTCACTTTCCATTCCATTCTGCTTAACCAGCAGTACTTCAAAAAATTTCAAATGCCGTTTTTTTGGCAACATCTGCAACATCTGTTCCCACCTATCAACATGACGTAACCCCAGTTCCCACCCAGAGACTCTATCTGGTCATTTCCAAGTACGTATCCCAAGGCCGGTATTTGTATGACTCCTGAAATGGCCCAGAGAGTGGTGGTCTTGGGTCGGCCTGGACAATACCAGGAAGGTCCGGTATAAATACCCTGAAGTTCTGATAGTGGAAGCTGACTTTTAATCTGTATCGCCACATTTGAAGCAATTGTAAATCATTTTGTTGTTAAAGCTACAATGGCAAATCTGCAAAACAAGCCATCTTAAAGCTTTTTTCATGCCTCCTAACAACAGATAGCTGTAAATATTTTGTGGAGAATAAAAAAATAAATAAAAAAAAGTTAAGGAAATTAAGTGGTTCTCTCACATTTGTCTAAAAATCTCAGCCAATAACACCGTTCGGGCTGAAACCAGCGATTGGACCATCCGGTTGTCTGTCTCACCGAAACACACTTCCGCATTTTCTGAGTCCTCCATTCATTATGTGCTCATGCATTTTGCAACAGAACACATCTGGTGTGAGAGGTTTGTCACTCAATACTATCAGAGAAGGAGAAACAGCCGGCTGCTACCTCTTCAGCTTTAGGACGAACTACCAGAGTCCCAAAAAGAAAAACATCAGTTCAAGTTAAAGGAAGCAAAAGACATTTGGCTCGCTTTGCTGAGCGGACTTTTAGCACAACGGTGCCCACTAGTGGCTGCTAGATGCAAACATAAACCCAGTGTCGTGCCCAACAAAATAAAAATTTGATAATTATTTTTTTAACTATAGTTTTTAAAGGAGAAACTATACATTCATTCTGCACACCTCTAAATTTCCTGTGGCGGCATTATTAATATTTAAATATAGCTTTTTATTAAAGTGTTACATATTCTAACTTTATTTAGTCAGTGTCTTAGAAATCAGAGAGGAGATTAAATAGCTTGAATAACAGTTTGATGTTAGATGAAGCTGATCTAATAATGCATTGGTTCATGAAATTCAAAACTATGTGGGCATTTCTTGGTCGCCGCGTGTGCTTTTGAGTGGGCGTCCTGTATTTATTGCTTGTTTTTGTTTGTTGGTTCACTTTCAGACTCACATATCCAGATTGCCACCTGGGACAGTTCCTGGCCAGTCTTTGGCCATCGAGGGAGGGGTGTGTCGGCTGAAGGGTGTGGTGGAATGAATGGCTTTCTCTTCTCTCTTCCTCGATTCTTCTTGGGCTTCCTTAGCAATACTCCCATATGAATTAAACACACACACACACACACACACACACACACACACACACACACACACACACACACACACACACATACACACACACACACACACACACACACACACACACCCTTCCTACAGCCTTTGCAGGTATAACGAGATAACAAGCTTTCATTGTGTTAACAGGTGTTCAGGAAGGACTGTGAAGCGTTAGCTTCTACTTAGTGCACTTACAGGACTTCCCTTTGCAGTTTTCTGCCTCCAGCGGTATACTTACTTACCCCTGAGCTCTCCAATGTCTCCTGGATCAAACTTGATGCACCATTTATTCTCTGTTACCTATTTAGACGGCTAAAAGGGTATCCCTTCTTTTGTACATAAGCTATAATTTAAGGAAACAGGGTGGATGTTTGAGTTATTTTGTGTTGCTGAACAAATATGTTCACACTTTCCAAATGTAAGACATCTTTTGCTAGCACTTTACAATAATTATCCCTTTATTAACAGAACTTAGTGCATTATTAAGCAGTAATAAACAAAGGATCCCTTTATTAATGCTCCCGATATTGTTAACTATTAAGCGTCTTTAAGGTTAGGACAAGGGGGGTGTCTGCTTAGTAATGTATTACTTAATATTATCATTGATATTAATTAATTAATACTTTAATAATGTGTAATAATGCACTAAGTAACATCCATAAAGGAACCCTTATTGTTAAGTGTTACCACATCTTTTCTTGTTAATAAACTCTTCAGTATAAAAAAGGCTGTCCTTGTGGGAGGCCAACACAAATCTTTGGCTCATAATAATTTATAGCTGTGATGGCTGAAGAGATTATGGCATTAACACAACTAAATCAACTTTCATGTGTTCTTATAAATCGATGTAACATAATGTTTCTTTGTGATTCCAGCCATAGGAGGCGTTGCTTCTTTTAAAGATGTTAATATCTAGATTCTGCATGTAGAATATCTGCAGTAAGCCACTTTCTTTGGGGGAGTTGATGTATTAGAAGGAAGCTATGCACTTCCAGAGTAATGACTATCACTCGTCATTTCCAAATCAGTTATATTTCTATAGCTCTATCGACAGAGACATGTATCTTCTTGCAAGAAAAATACACACACACACACACACACACACATATATATATAGGCCCATGAAATGGTGCTTTCAGCTGTACTTGAAAAGATGAATTGTCTGATTTTTTCTTCGTTCTCTTAAAAAGAATTCTGCTCCTGAAACAAAAGAAACACAGTCAAGCTTTTTATTTGAATTTGCATTAGAAAAATGTAGTTAATGGTAAGTGTCATAAGCTTGGGAGGTCATGTGTGCAACACTCGGCAGTGCTAAGAAACTGAATAAAATCAAATGGTTGAACTTTTTGGTCTGTTTTTAATCATTTTAACGCCACGGTTCCAGATTCATGACTGCCCTTGAGAGTTTTAAAATCCCGTTTCCCCTAAAATCTTTACATCAGATGATCTAAAGTTGGTGCGGAAGCCATGAGGTGAGCACGTTTTATTACGCAGAGGAAGTTATATCCATGTAAACATTTCAGGGTTTGATTAGAAGAAGCAGAGCTGTATTAGTGTTTTTTGGAAAAACCTTTGGCCAGCTGCTGGCTCTGGATTGTGGCCACTGTGGTGTCGGAGAGGAATGTGCAGTAGAGCTGTGAAACAGTAATTATTCACTGTTTGAAGGACGAAATGCCTCCCGCTCTGTGTGCTGTGCCAGACTGAGAGATCAGACCACATACTGATGACGTCCTGCTGGTCTGCCTCTCAGGTGCAACATGCCACAGTTGTTGGGCTTAGCGGACAGGCTAAATAAATTGAGCGGTCAGGAGTATTGTGTGTTTAATTGAGAAGATGCTGTGTGTGTTTATTTTTATTCCACAGCCACCCGACCCCAGTTTGATCTCAAAAGGCCGTTCAAAGCAGCGCTGAATGTTCCCTCGCTCCTCCATTCTCCGCTGGCATGATTATGTGCTTTTATAGAGCGGGCTCTTTTCATCAGAGCTAATCAGTGCCACTGGGAGACTCTGGATAGACGCTTCCCCTTCAAACGTTCTCTCTCTCTCTCTCTCTCTCTCTCTCTCTCTCTCTCTCTCTCTCTCTCTCTCTCTCTCTCTCTCTCTGCCATGCTTTGAAAACAGATCCTGGGTCTCTAAAAACTGGACCTGAGCCGTTTAAGGTGTATCCAATGCCTTACGCTCAGCAAAGCTCTTAAATACAAAACAGACACGAAGCAAATAAAGATCAAAGGCAGCAGCAGCCTTGCCTGTCTGCCCTGCTGTCTTCACATGCCAAGCAGTACTGTCACCAGGAGTCATGGCCATGCGGCTCACGCGCTCTCCTCCACTGCCCCCCCAGTAGGGTCACATCAACACACTTTGCCGCCGCGTGTCACTGGGAGTCAACATTATCTCCAATCGAGCTCTTTCAAACCCTTTTGGTTTGCACTCACTTGTGTGAGCGTGTGCTGCTTAGCAAGAAACGTGGTGTGAGACTCATGGGTTCAGCTCAGTAAACCCATGTCTGGAAAAAACAAATCATCTGATCATGAAAAGTTTTGTTTTTGCTCTGTGAAGGCAGCAGCAGGTGCCACGCAGGGCTATATGCAAATGCAATTAAAGCTGCAGATGGCCACATCTCAGTAATTTCCGGCCTGCACCGACTGAAGATGGCACTGTGCTCTCAGATGTTGCACACCCAGGAATATTTACCCCCTGACCTCTACTCCTCCCCTGTGCTGCTGTGCCAAAGATACAAAACTATGGCAGGCAGAGCCCCACCTCCCTCACTGGTTTGTCAGTAAAGTGTTGGGTGTGAGGGCAGGTGCTAGGTAGAAGGAAAACCCCTGGTCCAGGTCGGCCCTTTAAGATTTAAAGCTTTAAGAAAATTCTGTTAATTAGGCTGGCCTGCCCAGACACTTCCTGCTTTGTACTACGCCACCCATAAGCAGCAAAGCAACGGGAGAGGGGGACTAAAGGAAACTGTAGGAGATGATGCTAAAAAGGGCCGTGTCACATCTGCAGCACACCGCAGAGCTAGAAGATGTGTGATTACCGGGCAACCGGCTCGCTTCACCTACCAGAGATTTCACTTTCAGCTCCAGATTAAAAAAATGCACCTGAGCAGCAGCATTAACACTTCCACAGCTAAGTGTGTGTGTGTGTGTGTGTGTGTGTGTGTGTGTGTGTGTGTGTGTGTGTGTGTGTGTGTGTGTGTGTGTGTGTGTGTGTGTGTGTGTGTGTGTGTGTGTGTGTGTGTGTGTGTGTGTGTGTGTGTGTGAGAGCTGCAGCACTTGACCTGGGCCTAAAACTGTATGAGCTCACAGACAGACTTTATTGTCCACCTCGAACTGAGGCAGGAATTCGCCTTTGACATGGCTCACCTTACAATACAATCCATATTGCATTCACACAAATACATAAAAAGCCAATTAAAAGGTATTAAAATGTCGTCATCGTAAAAAAAAAAAAACTTTATGAATTCAAAATTGTAATTCTGGTGGGAACACCTTTCTTGGCCAATAGAACCCTGAACCTCCTTCCTGACGGAAGTAACTGAAAATATGGAGTCAGTGGATGGGTTGAGTCTGCACTGATCAGGGTAGCCTTCCTGTGCGCTGCTCGCTCGTGAAGAACAGAAAGTTGGATCTGAGGTGAGCCTGTAATTTTGCTGCCTAATTTAACAATGCGAGAGAGTTGTGTTTAGTTTTTAACTGTAAGAATATTGAAAGTTAGAATGGATTCAATCAGTGATTTATATACAATTGTTAGGATGTCCTTGTTCACACTGAGTGCTCTTAGCTTCCTTAGCAGGTGGAGTCTTTGCAGTGCTTTCTTGTAGACACCGTTGCTGTGGTTTGCAAAGGACAGGTGGTCATCAATTTCTGTTCCCAGGTACCTGAATGACTGAACCTGCTCCACAGGCTGACCCTGTACGCTGAGGGGTTTGAACAGGGACGTGTCTGCCTCACTGACTGCCCCACTGCACATTTTAGTTTTTGAGATATTCAGCCCCAAGTGCTGATCGCCTGCTGATATTTAGACAGGTCCTCCGATGTCTTCACTGATGCCACCAGTGCCATGTCGTCTGCATACTTATACAGGGCCATTCTCTCACTATGGCACCGGATGTTGTTTGTGTAGACTGAGAAAAGCACTGGAGACAAAACACAGCCTTGTGGCAGTCCAATGCTGATGACACTTTTCGTGGATTTAAATCCTCTTAAAAACACTTGTTGTGGCCTGTCTTTCAAAAAGTTGTGGATCCATAAAAGCAGCGTTGTGTGGAGATGGAGATCTGAAAGCTGTTCCAGCAACATGCTGGTGTCTACTGTATTAATGCAGAAGAAAAATCCATGAATAAGATTCTTGTGTATGGTTGTGTAGAGTCCATGTGTTTAGTGACAGCATTTAGAAGTGTGAGACTTGCATCCTCTACACCACGACTTGCCTTGTAAGCAGATTGTAGGGGATCCGGCTGGTCCGAGATGAATTTTGTCAAGTATCCTCCCACTACCCTTTCCATGCACTTGCACAGAACTGATGTAAGGGCCACAGGTCTAAAGTCCCCCAGTTCTTTTGCATGAGCTTTCTTGGGGATCGGAATTATCACAGATTCTTTCCATTGCTCTGGAACACAGCCAAAGTCCAGAAGGAGCTGGAAGAGTCTGGTGAGTACCCCACCTCCTGCCACCAAGCCCATCAGGGCCAGAGCTCTTGTATGGGTTGATGCAGCACAGGATGGTGGTGACCTCCTCCTCGCTGATGGTTAGTGCTGGTTCAGTGAGGCTGTGGGTGGGGGTGGGGGTCCCAGGTGGAAAGAGGGTGAACGCCGTTGAAGCGGACAAAAAAGACGTTCAGCTGTTCTGCCAACGAGATGGAGTCATGGCAGTTGACTTGCGGAGTCTCTGGGTCTCTTCCCATCATGATGTTCAGGCCCTGCCATGCCTTACGAGCATTTCCAGATGTGAGTTGATGCTCCACATTCTGTGTTTGTTTCCTTTTTGCAAGGATGACTTTCCTCTGAAAGTCTTTCTCCAGCACCCTCACACACTCATGGTCCTGAAGGAAGACCCGTTTCTTCTACACCAGGAACATTTTAAGTTCCTTTGTGATCCACTTTTAGTTGTTTGGGTGTATTTTTATTTGCTTGGTAGTGGTGACTATTTCTTCGCAAAAGAGAATATATGAGGTCATTACATCTGCCAGCATGTTCAGATTGTTCCCACTGTCATTAAAAAATACGTCCCAATCAGTCATTTCAACACAGCCTTTAATGCTTCACTCGAATCCTCGTTCCAAACTTGGATAGTTTGTGTTACCCCTTCCCCTGTCTTCGGTTGCGACCTGTATTTTGGTACTAGTAAGAGTACATTGTGGTCTGATCTACCAAGAAGTGGACGTGACTTTGAGATGTATGCATTTGGGATGTTGCCATAACACGGGTCTGGTATCCTGCTCCCTCTTGTGGCTGTTGTGACATATTGCCCTAGATTAGGTAAATATGTTACGATGTCGCATTTATTAAAGCCTCCCAAAAGAAATACTGGCTGATCTCCGGTTCTGTTGACAGCCCTGTTAAAACTATCTGCTATGGCGTCAGCAGCTAAGTTAAAATCAGGGCCCGGCACATAGACCAAGATGACAGTTATTTGATTAAACTCACGTGGGAGATAGTGTGGTCTAAAAGACACTGTTAAAAGTTCATAATGTTCACAGTTCTCAGTCGCTCTTATTGTGTAGTTGGTTGCCCACCTGCTGTTGACAGCCATGCAGAGGCCGCCCCAATCGTCTTCCTTGTTTTGGTTGCGTCTCTGTCAAGACAAATGATGTTACAGTGGGGCAAAAAAGTATTTAGACAGCCACCGATTGTGCAAGTTCTCCCACTAAAAATGATGACAGAGGTCAGTAATTTACATCATAAGTACACTTCAACTGTGAGAGACAGAATGTGGAAAAAAATCCATGAATTCACATGGCAGGATTTTTAAAGAATTTATTTGTAAATCAGGGTGGAAAATAAGTATTTGGTCACTTCAAACAAGGAAAATCTCTGGCTCTCACAGACCTGTAACGTCTTCTTTAGAAACTTTTCTGTCCTCCACTCGTTACCTGTATTAATGGCACCTGTTTGAACTCATTATCTGTATAAAAGACACCTGTCCACAGCCTCAAACAGTCAGACTCCAAACTCCACTATGGCCAAGACCAAAGAGCTTTCGAAGGACACCAGGAAAAGAATTGTAGACCTGCACCAGACTGGGAAGAGTGAATCAACAATAGGCAAGCAGCTCGGTGTGAAAAAATCAACTGTGGGAGCAATTGTCAGAAAATGGAAGACATACAAGACCACTGATAATCTCCCTCCATCTGGGGCTCCACGCAAGATCTCATCCTGTGGGGTCAAAATGATCATGAGAACGGTGAGCAAGAATCCCAGAACCACACGGGGGGACCTGGTGAATGACCTGCAGAGAGCTGGGACCACAGTAACAAAGGTCACCATCAGTAACACATTACAACGGCAGGGAATCAAATCCTGCAGTGCCAGACGTGTTCCGCTGCTGAAGCCAGTGCATGTCCAGGCCCGTCTGAAGTTTGCCAGAGAGCACATGGATGATACAGCAGAGGATTGGGAGAATGTCATGTGGTCACATGAAACCAAAGTAGAACTTTTTGGTAACAACTCAACTCGTCGTGTTTGGAGGAAGAAGAATACTGAGTTGCATCCCAAGAACACCATACCTACTGTGAAGCATGGGGGTGGGAACATCATGCTTTGGGGCTGTTTTTCTGCTAAGGGGACAGGACGACTGATCCGTGTTGAGGACAGAATGAATGGGGCCATGTATCGTGAGATTCTGAGCCAAAACCTCCTTCCATCAGTGAGAGCTTTGAAGATGAAACGTGGCTGGGTCTTCCAACACGACAATGATCCCAAACACACCGCCCGGGCAACAAAGGAGTGGCTCCGTAAGAAGCATTTGAAAGTCCTGGAGTGGCCTAGCCAGTCTCCAGACCTCAACCCCATAGAAAATCTGTGGAGGGAGTTGAAAGTCCGTGTTGCTCGGCGACAGCCCCAAAACATCACTGCTCTCGAGAAGATCTGCATGGAGGAATGGGCCAAAATACCAGCTACTGTGTGTGCAAACCTGTTAAAGACCTATAGTAATCGTTTGACCTCTGTTATTGCCAACAAAGGTTATGTTACAAAGTATTGAGTTGAATTTTTGTTATTGACCAAATACTTATTTTCCACCCTGATTTACAAATAAATTCTTTAAAAATCCTGCCATGTGAATTCATGGATTTTTTTTCACATTCTGTCTCTCACAGTTGAAGTGTACCTATGATGAAAATTACTGACCTCTGTCATCATTTTAAGTGGGAGAACTTGCACAATCGGTGGCTGACTAAATACTTTTTTGCCCCACTGTATATCCCTCCAGCTGGAAGTCAGCGTCCGCTGAGAGCCAGGTCTCGGTAAAACAGTAGAGGCTGGTCTGTTTGTAGTCCTGATCATACTTCAGAAGTGTTGAAAGTTCATCACTTTTGTTGCGTAGGGAGCGCACATTTGACAGTGCGATAGCCGGTAGCGGAAGCCTACTACCTCTTCTCCTCATTCAGTTCCGTATGCCTCCTCTTGATCCTCTTTTCCTGCATGTGCGCCGCCGTCGTCTCCCTCGAAGTAACTCCAGTGGTATAATATATCTCGAAGGAAGGTCGGACTGAGCAGTCCCCGGGTGGGCTCGATTTAGCGCCAGCAGGATGATTGAGCGTGATATCCCTCTCATAACAAAACGGAGGCAAAATACCCAAAAAACACATCCTAGTGATCTTTAACGAGCCCTTTCGCATCCTTGACAATGTACCACTAACATGGTGTTTTGCGGTATTTGAAACAAACCAGAATGGAGACCTGGAAATATCAACACAAAAGCGAGGCCTCAAGCTTCTTCTGCTCTCGGCGTGCACTTTTTTGTCTGCAAACCTCTGTGATTCCACACAGACTTTATATCTATATCTTGTGTTCCTATCTGTGCCTCTGCACTGTTGGGTTAACGCAGGTAGGGGAGGGGAAGTAGGGGAAAAAAAAGGATGAAAAATGAGGAGTGTGCACGAGTAATTGCCTGTTCTGGAGACACGTGGAGCCTGTCTGGAGGAGAGAAAGCGGTTGGGGCGGGGTTGATGGAATGGAGGTATGTCATCAATTTGAGCTTAATGTTTCAAAACAAAAGGTGAGCACTTTTCTTTTGATCCCCGCAGCCTGTTCAGCAGACACTCGAAGATAACCATCCACTTAAATCTCTGCACTAAATCATGTTTTAACGCCGGGGAGGCCCAGAGGTTTTTAGTTTCTTTTAAGAGCGCAACTTGGTGAGATAATAGAAAGAGTGAAGTGAAGCTGCACTTTTAAAAGTGTGATTTACAGTGAGTAGCAAGCTGACAAAAGCCGGTGGTTGGGATAAATGAGTCAAAAATGCCCAAGGATGAATTTTGTGTGAACAGTGAAAAAACTGAGGTGGTTGCAAGTTAGCGCCTCAGGGGTGTGAAACGTGCTGAGGCCTGCTGCTTTCCACAGAGCAGCCCTGCACCCAGCCAGCTGTGCAACACACAAGACCCAGGGTACCATGAATGGTTTCCTCTGTGTGACAATGACTGCAGCGCTCAGCCGACAGGGACTGGTCAGAGGTCCCCGCCACAGACAAGCTGCACCGAGTGTGTGCACGAGAGAGAGAGAGAGAGAGAGAGAGAGAGTGAGTGTGTACGCTGAGAAATTACTCAGGAATTTGAGGATACATGCCAAAGGAAGAATTTGAGTCACATTCAAAGGAACCTTACTCTCCTCGCCCTCTGAAGAAATATCACAGCCCCATCAAAAGGCCTGGCCTGACAGCCACACTGGATGGAACTAATGGAAGTCTTGTGCACTGGCTTAACTCTGTTGGAGGAGTGTAATCGATTACATGAGACGCTTTTATTATTTCTTTCTGTCCTTTGACAGCAGGAGAGAAACCTAGCAGCTGATGAGCATTTAAACTGACTTTAAAACATTTATTAATAGAATTATAGCTCAAAAACAAGTTTCCTTAACGTTGAATTCACACATTCTTTACACTCCGTTGAGGTTTAATCCTCTCTTGAGAGAAAGGCTCAAAGGATGAAATTGAGACGTTCCTCCACGAGCGAATAAGGAACCACAGTCTTACACATCCCACCTAAACTCGGCTATGGCTTAATAAATACTTTACAAAAATAACGCTGGCTTTTTTTTTACAACAAAGAACTGCCTCACGAACAGAAATGATGCAGCTGAATTACAGAGGTAAATAAAACATGTGCATGCTAAATAAACATACCCACAAGTTTAAATGGAAACCTGAATATTGTCATTGATAAAATTACAAAAATAAATCTGCAACCCTGTTTTCTGGCTTTCCCCTTCTCTTCAACACAATACGTGGGTGGGGGTCAAACTAAACCCATCAAATCTATCAGAATGGACATTTCTACAACAGATATCCCCAGTGAGTCGTAGAGGATGGCTGCTTATACTGAGCCAGGATGCTCTGGAGGTTTCTTCCTGTTAAAAGGGAGTTTTCCTCTCCACTGTCGCTTTATGCTTGCTTGGTATGAGGATTGCTGTATAGTCACTGACACTAGTCAGTGACTTGATGCAATTTGCTGGGTTTCTTTTATAGGAAACTATATTTCTGATTGGCTTAATGAACTGACCTGAATTGGAATGTTTATTATGTGAAGTGCCTTGAGACGACTCTTGTCGTGATTTGGCGCTATATAAATAAACTTGAATTGAACTTGAATTGAATATTCCCTTTTAACAGTATGCACAAGTTCCTCCCTTTAGTGAATTTACACACACACACACACACACACACACACACACACACACACACACACACAGCTACACTTTGCAGCAAGATTTGTCGTAGAATTTTCAAGGTCTAGACCCAAAAGAGAATACAATGACAAGAAAAGCTCCACTTGAGCTTTACTCCGACTGATTTTGTCTTTTTGTTTTTGCGGCACGCTAGAATTCCCTTGCCTCCTCAAACTGTTTGTAGTAGTCTTCATCCTGGGGATTTTCCGTGCACTTCTGCTCGTTGTTGGGCGGCCTGGCTTGGTTGTAGCGACTCCAGTCTCCTTTACAGATGATCCAAGGCAAGATGTCCACCTTATAATGCAGGTCGGCGGAGAACTCTGTGCTGATGAGGTTGGGCGTGCCGGCACCTTTTCCGCGCGTGATGACTTTCATGCTGTCGTCGTAGCAGCAGTGTTGCGCGGCCAGTGTGGTGGACTCAAAGGTGAGCATGGATCGGATGCAGTAGCGAGCAGTGGGCTTGTAGATCTCCAGTTTCTCTTTTGGTCCGCTCGCATCTTTCCAGCGGAAATCTCGACGTGTCGGAGCGTCGTGAACCTCTGCTGGGCTGTATGCCACCTCGGTTGGGTAAGAGCACGGGCAGCTGGGGAGGTCGTTTGCCACCTTGGCCATGTACTTCTTCAAGAAGTCACTCTTGCAGTTCATCCAACGCTCACAGCTGTCTGTGTCTGTGAGAAATAATGTTTCATTTCAAACATTGATAGTATGCAACCAGGCGAAGTATAAGACCTCTGAAAGGTATGCAACATAATCCAACTTACCAACCCCAAAGAGTTCTGTGGCATTGAACTCATTTTTTCCAGCCAATAGGCTCACTTCAGTAGTTGCTGTCTTGAAGGCATCTTCAACACCTTTGGACGGTTGAATTCAACATTCAGCAGGAGCTCTGTGTGCTTATATTAACTTAGAAAACAAAAGTGTTACCTGGACAGTTGGGCATGTCACAGGTTCTGGACTCTGTGGCTGTACAGGCATAACCGCAAGACCTGGTTCTCTTCTGGTTGCCGTTTCCACAGGTGACACTGCAGGCTGACCAGTTACTCCAGTCCCCTTCTCCATCGATATAGTCTTAGATCAGAGAGAAAGACAGATTCGAATATCAACGGAGGTTAGGACGTATAAAGGTAGGTGGGGAGTTTGATTTATTTGTTGTTTGCCAGACGTCCACGCTAACTCAAACCTGTGGAACAAGGAAGAAAGTGGGAAACTGTAATAAAGCCATTAGGAATCCAGGATACTGATGACAAATGGAATATTTACCCTGGGGTACTTTCAAGTGACCCATACAGATCTATGAACTATTCAACCTTCCTCCCTAAGGTGGAAAACTGAGCATACTCAAAGCCAAAGTGTTGCGACCTTAAGGGCCTTTCCACTACCTACTCAGAGCAGCTTGACGAAGTTCGCCAAGCGCTTCCACTAATAAGGGGTACCAGGCTGCTGTCCCTCCCTTGAGAAAATTCTTCAATGCAGTTATAAGCATAGCAAGATGGGTCAAACACACAAAGTAAGTGATTGGCTAGGGGGCTCCTGGAGTGTTTAGCCTTGCTACCTACAGAGCAGAATGTTCAACATGGCTACCATGTCCTTCACTCGAGATAGGGCCATTAGTGACGTTGCAAGCTCTCTGAACCAATTTAGTGGCCCTTTTTTCCAAAATGCAACTCACAAACATGTTACGGTGTGGTTTAATGGTGTTATTTGAGAATTTTGGAGACTGATTTGAAATCAGGTATCAAATGTCCTTTCTTCATTGAATAGCAGTTGCTGTCACGGGCCAATTTCAAAGCATTCGCAGTCAGCCCAGTCCTTGCATCGTAGCTATCCTTCCTGCTGCAGTGACAGCAGGAGATGTTAACTCCTCGATGACTGCAAACTAATCGTGGATGATTGAAGCTGATTGATTTCACCCACGCTTACAGTCACAACCAATCGAAAACACCTATTAGCCACTTTTAGAAGACAAATCAGTGTAATACTGCCGCCACAGTGTGACTTATAAAAGTGCAGTGGCATGCGATCTTGTGACTGATGAATACGCTTTGGCGCAATCGAGGTTGGTGTCATGATCACGTGGGGAGTTACTACCGAGCTCCGGACGGCAACTATATTTAAAATTAAAATAAACATTAGTGTAAGTTTTGTTTTTGTAAGAGTGATGCAGAGCTCCAGGAGCTGCTCTCCGTTGGAGCCGAAGTTCAGATCATGAGACAGCTCACAGGGACTACGACGGACAGACACCTTTAGGAGCGGCTTGTCAAAAAAACTTAGAGCATGGCTTCAATCTCAATAAAAAGCAGGTTATGCTCAAGCTGAAGGAAAGTCTGTGACAGTGCAAAGACCACCACCATACCCCCTCTTACCACCATTGTGTAATCTTTTGTAAAAGGACATGATTACCACCAAGGTCTGACCGCTTATGAACAACCAAAGGCTCCATGATGTCTGCTCAGCCTTGCGGCAAACTGACAGCATGAAGAGCCTAAGTGTCCTCCCTTTCCGGTCAGCTCATGGGTCGCCGGAGGAATGAAAAGATGAGCTTAAGTCAACGGGGCTAACAGAGTTATTTTCTAATCTGCTTTGGCTTACGCCCTGAAGGAAATGTTTCAACCATGCCAGTCATGTACTTTGAGATTTATCAGCTTGTAAAAGTTCATCATTAGCACGACTGCAAGTCAGACATCGGTACGTCACATATATGATGTCACCACAGAATGTCCTCTCCCCTAGCGTAGCTGCTACGTACCACATGACCAGATTTATGGTGGTTCTTTCCTCCTGAAGGAAGGATTAGAAGTTCGCTGAACTTACAGCCCTTTTAACGCTGCTTTTCTCCATGTCTGATTCGATGACGTCACTTTTGTGAAGAGCGTTTGTAGTCCTGGACATATTTTCACACAAAACCTAAAATAACGTTTTCCCCCATTCTTGGTATCAAAATGCGTCTTTAAAACTCACAGATATAATATGTGAAATCTACGGTACATAAAAAAAATAGAAAATAGCGGTTTTAGCCCCGTTGGCTTGCATTCATTTTTTGGTTCTTCCGGCGACCCGTGGTCCGGAAATAAATGAGCATGACTTGGGTTCCATATTGTTTAATAAAACCGGTTATTGACACCACCGGAGTGTCTCTTTTGGGTCACCTTTGACAAACCCATCCCAAGACATGGAGGAGATTTAGATTTGTGACACCATAAACAACAATAATCCCCACAAGAAATAAATGTATAGTTTGGTATTGTTGAACATGCATGGTGTTGTTTTCCTCACTTTTGTCCGTAGTATGCATTATTCATGACATGTACATACACATGACCCATTTCAAATGAGTTGATGATGACCTTTCACGACTTCTAGTGACTTTTGGCACAGCCAGCATCTTCCTTACTGAAGAGCTCACAAGGCAAAGGAACAGCCTGTTTATAAGGCAGCAAGCCTCGTGAACTCTGCAGTCTGTTTACTACATTAGGATTTTAGGTTTGTACTAATATACGTTAGGTTATGAAATGTTTAAAAAGGCCTGAGTACGTTTCAGAAACTCTGCCACCAGCATCAGCTTGTCAAGTCGAAGTCAGTCACTGAGAATGATTATTGTGGGTTTTTTGTGATGCATGTATTCCTGACTGGCTTCTAAACCACCCTATGCACCCCTTCCAGCCATCTGTCCTTTATTATGGGTATTTAATATTACTTAAAACGATGTTGCTCCTGTGCTTGTGACGCAAATCATACAGGTTGTGTCAGTTCAGACGAAAGTCGGGATTTCTAACGTTTAAAACTATGATAATAATGATAAAATATTATGTGGTTTGAAATCCAGGAAGATTCAGAGATTTGACTGTGGCGAAAAGCCATTTGACAAACGTCATGGTTTTGATCCAAGTGGATAAAATGACATTTTCTACAGCTCCCAAATTCCTGCCTGACCTTGATGATTTGGGCATGCTTCAACACAGGCCACACCGTACGGCCGCCAGTGGAAATTCTTTCACTGTGGGGTTGCTTTTGAACGGTGTTGTGTGAACTGAGAGGAAGTCTAACGGTGCTTCCGGCTCCACGAATGTGGCTTAACTTTGATGTAGCGAGGCATTCAAACTGCGCGAACAGCTATCTCTGGAACACAGAGGAATCCAACCCATAAAGGAACGTTAAAGGCTTCAATCAGGGGCTTGCCTGGATGACTGCACGTATTATGGTGACAGCTTAAATCAGTAAATCTGCAAATTACAGATTCCACATCAGACTATGGCCATCTGGGGACGAGAGCTCAAACGAGAACCCGTGGAGCCAGTGAATTATCCTGCAAACACACACACTCCCTCCTGTCAGACTCACCATATTCCGCTTGAGCTTTGCCTCCCCTCCTGTCCCAGTCGGCTGGTGGCCGCAGGAAGTTGCTGTTCTCTGTTTTGCTCCTGTATGAGCCATCGTGCTCCTCTGTTTGATGAGGAGATGAAACGGAGGAGGAGGAAGGCCACCAGTTTCCCCAGTTGGGAGAGGCCCAGCTGGGCTTTGTTTCCTTACGGAGGCCTTTCTCAGGCTCGTGGCCCTCGAGCCCGTCCACCACTTCAATGGTCACCTGTGTTGGGAAAAGTCAAATTGACATTGATGTCTAAAAACTAGAAAGACTTTGATCGTTTTCTTTCTAAAACGTTAGTTATTTGCAGAAAAGTGGCGCTTTCTGTTGCCCCTGCACACATCGCCCCCACCCTCTTCGTGTCCTCACACATGTGCCTCCCATATGAGGGGGAACACCACCCCTGCCCCTCAGTCACCCTCCCGCCTCTCGGGCTCTCTCCACCTAAGCACAGAGTTCAAAGGGCTACTCAGCCTCCTCCAGACCATGAAAGCCAGATGAATCCCAGGATCAAAGACACCCCCCACCCCCCATTCTCCCACAGCCTCACGCCCTTGCTCGATTGGTTGTTTTCCTCTCTTCCCACATCTTGAGATGTTAATACACTTTGTTCAAGCTCATATTTACCAACGATGCTTTCAAAAAGTGAGAGACCCCCCCGCTTTGTGGCTCAGACATCAGGATGATTTAACCACGACTGAAATGATTCAACCATCTGCATCAGTCAGGGATTTATGGACTGCCACACATTCACATAAGGCTACCGTCCATCTTCTTGCATGTGGGTTACTAGTGAGCCTATGGCGGCTAGCCTCTGCCGTTCAGCTGCCATGATGATTGACATGCTGTCTTTCAGACGCTGTACTGGGACTTAAGAAGCGTAACAAGGAGGAGGAAGGAGAAAATAGTGTAATGATAATAGAAGCTTTGTGCTTGTATCAAACAGTTAAAGGCAGGTGCGCGTGCACCTGGGGTCACCTGTATGTTGGGGTTCTGTCCATCTATGTCTGCCTTGGAGAGGTCCGGGAAGTTCTGCAGGTCCAAGAGGAACGCTCCAGGGCCATCCCTGGGCACGTTGCTGCCCTGCGCCCAGGGAAGGGATGCAGGCTGACGGGTTCGCTGGTGCTCGGGACCGGACTTCCTGTCTTCAAGAACCAGCTGTGCAGAAGAGCCGCTTCTTGCATTTAGAGGTTTCTGGGAGGGAAATGAAAGGAACATTCTATTAGTTCAGAGCTAAAACGGTTGTGTTGTCTAAACTCTGCATGCTCGGCAACAATAGATTTATCTCCTGTGCTGACAGACGTTTGTGTGGTTTCGGCTTGGAGCCACTGAAGTAGTGGAACCGACTTCACGCTGTGCTCTTTGTGTCTGTCAGCCCCCATCGCACTGAAACCTCTAACAGCTCCTATGTGCAGCCATGGCTGTGTAGTGTTTCCATTTTTAACTTACCAAGTGCTACTTTTCCAAGCTGCTTTACCATAGTAGTATACATAAATAGTATGTTCTTTTGCTGGCTGGTAGAAAAGACGGATGGTTTTCCTACACTGGCTCATATGGAGAGACCTAAGCAATCCCTGCAAAATAATTACATCTGCCTCATCGAGGACAGAAAAACATTTGGTCCTCTGACGGGGGTGCTGTAAATCCATCCCAAAATGACAGATGAGGCATTTGTCCTCAATCAGGTATGCACAGAAGGAACAATTATTCCTAAATTGGACAGACAGCCATAAGTAGTCTGCAATCATCCATTCTGGGGTGGCAAAAAATAAGATCAAAGCAAAGCATCAATCATGCTACTTGTTTTTCTTTTTTCTTTCCTTCCCAGTGTTTTTGTGGCCAGACCAAGGCCTGAGACTTTGGGAGCTGCGCTCTACGTTTGCGGTGGCCTGTTGCAGACCAAGTGTCAGCGCAGCCACATTGTGGTGGTTAGAAAAGCCCCCACTGGGGCTGTTTGTGTGCAGCCAAGGTGCACTCCGGGGCAGCATGCACGCTGGAGGCGCCCTGCAGGGTGGAGGGATTATCCACGGGACAGCAGCTGGATGACTCTTCCCTCGTTCACAACCCAGATGGGCCCTAATGTGATGATGTGTTGGATTTGAAAGAATTTAAAAACTTTCACATCACTTTTTTTTAATGAGCACTTATCCTGCATTTAAGATAATTATAAAACCAGCTATAATTTTGGGAAAGACGACTGCACGGTTCTTTAAAAAGCAAATAAAAAGAAAAGGAAGAGAGGGGAAAATAAGACGTTT